TGAAAAGACTTTTCTCCAAAGAAGAGACACAAATGACCAACTGGTATATGAAAAACTGCTTAATGTGTCACTCATCAACAGGGAAATGTGAATCAAAACCACAATGTAATATCACCTCACATCTGTCAGGATGGCTATTATAAAAAAACTAAAACAAAAAACAAGTCTTGGTAAGGATATGGAGAAATTGGAACACTCCTACACCCATCAGTAGGAGTGTTTCGCAGTGGGAATGCGAAATGCAGCCACTATGAAAAACAGTATGAAAGTTCCTCAAAAAATCAAGAATAGTGCTACCATATGATCCAGCAATCCCAATTCTGAGTACATATCCAAAGAAATTGAAGTCAGGATCTGGAAGAGATATTAGCACTCCCGCACTGGTCGTAGCACTGTTCCTAATAGCCAAGATGTGGAAACAGCCTGAACGTGGTATATACATACCACAGACTACTATGCTGCCTTTTAAAAGAAGGATATTCTGCAATATGTCACAAAGTGGATAAACCTTAAGGACGCTAGGCAAAGTAAGCCAGACACAGAAAGATAAAATACCACATGATTCCACTTATATGATCTGAAATAGTCAAACCTCAATCATAGAGCAAAATGGTGGTTTGCCAGGGGCTGGAGGGACAGAAAAATGGGAAGTTACTGACCTACAGATGTAAAGTTTCAGTCAAACAAGATGAATAAGCTCTAGAGATCTACTACTATACAATGCCAACAATACTGTATTGCAGGCTTAAAATTGTTATGAAGGTAGATCTCTTGGTGAGTGTTCTTACCACACTAAAATAAAATTACAAAAATATAAAGAGAGAGAAGTGGTAATTTTCTGGGGCATTCGTTTTGAAGTTCCAGAGGATTGAAAGAACTGGGAAAACTCATCTCCCTTACTAGGCGAGGCGTTGTTGTTTAGCAGAGCCATTATGCTGGTTCTAGAATCACCTCCGAGCACCACCACACTGCTGTACTTGATACAGTACCAAGAGACAAAGAGTTAACTTAGTGTTATCAAGCAACTAGTATATGATGGAAATCTTAAAGCCATTTCTTCACTTATTCTGTAACACAACCTTCCAAGGGGTGTTCATGGTTTCCATTTTACACATGAGCAAGCTGAGGCTCAGGTGATGGGATGTCTTGGCCAGAGCCAGAATCAGGAAATGGATCTATCTGACCTTCTGTCATGACTCTCAGCAAACAGGGCTCCTGCTCACCTCTCCTCTGGACCCTGCATCAACCAGCCACATCTATCCAAAGGGCCAGGATTCTATCCGGGACAGAACTGAATTTTCCTGGAACTATGGTTCTCTGTTTTTACTGACCGAACACAAGACAATTCTGGAGTATTTCAGAAGCAGAATTATTTCTTTGCCCCAGGTCATGTTTTTACTGTTAGCCTGTCCTTCCAAAATGAAAGGGACAAACATCAAAGCATTCAGTGCTGCCTTTTATTAGTAACTTGGCTGTATTTTATGGTTTGGGGGTTGGCTTTTACTTCCTAGGAATTGCTCAAAACCAAAAGGGAACTTGGCATTGTCAGGAGGTTTCCATGGGCCTCGTCGTCTCTTCCCTCACTGGTCCTTTCAGAGCCTCTGCTCATTTCAGCAAGGAGCACCCTGGGAGCCCTCCCCCCCCCCCCCCCGTAAGTGGAAGCCACAGCCACCTCAGGGCCCGCCCTGCTCCCCCAAACAGACCAGGTGGCCACATCCAGGCCTTTCCCTCGAGTCATTGATCCAGTGAATACTTTCTTTTCTTCTTTTTTTAACTTCATTGCTTCTCCACCTTTTGGCTAAGATCAAGTGTAAAGATTTATTTAATTATTTGAGAGAGAGAGCAAGAGCATGAGCAGGGGAAGGAGCAGAGAGAGGGAGAGGGAGAGAATCTCTAACAGACTCCCCGCTGAGCACAGGGCCTGACAGGCTCGATCTCAGGACCCTAAATCATGACCTGAGCTAAACTCAAGAGTCGAACACTCAATCAACTGAGCCATCTGGGTGTCCCCCCTCCCCCTGTAAATACTTTTCACCAGGTATCAGGGGTTCCCCAGCACTACTCAGATATGTAGGAAAGGTGTAGGTGGAACAGCCACATACCTCTACCCTCTGTGGATTTGGGGTAGAGGAGCTGGTGTTGGCCAGTCCTGGGCTCTCGAGTCCTGCCTACTTCACCAGAACTTCCACTTTCCCATCTCAGAAATGGGTCAGCCTTCTCAGGATTACATGGAACATAGCAGATGAACACATTTTGAGAGCCAGCAAATGCTGAGCCAACATAAGGGAATAGTGTTATTGCAGTCTGGGGAGAGCCACAGGATTTCTGCACACAAAGCAGCCAGGACACACCACAGTCCAGCATATAATCAGCCCCTTCATTATGTGGTTCTAACTGTACAAACTGCAGAATTTCAGAGGAAAGACAGACCCACAGGGGCCCCCAAGATGGCAACTCATCCCAGGCAGAATGAATACTCCAAGCCAGAAAGAGAAGGAGGTCAGAAGTCAGAGGTAAGAGAGGAAAGTGCCTGCTCTCTCCCTCTTGGGCTCTCTGCCTTCAGCCTGGAAAAGATCAGTCCCTGGGGATTTGCTGCTGAGCTGGAGCTACTTCAAGGCTAACAAAATCAATGAGCCACAAATACCAGTCCCTTAATGGTCAGCATCCTTCACCACAGAAGGATAGAGCTTGGACAGTGACTAGGGCAATCACCCTACTAAAACATGTCCACCCACCTCACATGTTCTTCTACTTTAGATCTGAGATGGCTTGAACCTGGGATTTGTATTAAAGTCAGAACCAGACCCAAAGCTATGTAGGGTCAGCAACCCAAGTGACCGTCGGTGGGTAAACGAATAAACAGAATGTGGCATAGCCATACAGTGGAATATTATTCAGCCTTGAAAAGGAGGGAAATTCTAGCACATGCTACAGCATAAGTGAACCTTGAGGCTGTTAGGTAAGTGAAGGTGGCCTGTCACAAAAGGACAAATATTGTATGATCCCACTTTCACGAGGTACTTAGAGTAGTCAAATTCATAGTGACAGAAAGAATGGTTGCCAGGAGCTAGGGGAAGAGAGAATGGTTTCTTTGGTACAGGGCTTCAATTTTGCGAAATAGGGTTCTGGGATGGATAGATGTGATGGTTGCACAATGAGGCGAATGTACTTAATGCAGCTGAACTGTATGCTTAAAAATGGTTAAGATGAGGGACGCTGGGTGGCTCAGTGGTTGAGCATCTGCCTTTGGCTCAGGGTGTGATTCTGGAGTCCTGGCACCGAGTCCCACATCGGGCTCCCTGCAGGGAGCCTGCTTCTCCCTCTGCCTGTGTCTCTGCCTCTCTCTGTGTGTCTCTCATGAATAAATTTTTTAAAAAATGGTTAGGGGCAGCCTGGGTGGCTCAGCGGCTTAGCGCTGCCCTCAGCCCAGGGCATGAACCTGGAGACCCAGGATCAAGTCCCATGACGGGCTCCCTGCATGGATCCTGCTTCTCCCTCTGCCTGTGTCTCTGCTGCTCGCTCGCTCTCGCTCTCTCTCTCTCATTAATTAATTAATAAATAAATAAATAAATAAATAAATAAGATGATAAGGTGCCTGGCTGGCTCAGTCAGTAGAGCATGTGACTCCTGGTCTTGGGGTCATGAGTTTGAGCCTCACGTTGGGCATGGAGCCTACTTAAAAAAATAAAAAACAAATTATTAAAATGGCAAATTTTATGTGTATTCTACCTCAATTAAAACTTTTTTAAAAAATCTGAAAAAGAAGTCAAAATACTCGTCCATCCTAGCCCCATAGCAGGGCTAGAGCGTCACTTTGCAGGGGGTGAATGGAGAATGAGCTTTTAGAGGCCTGTTACATAGGAAATCGAAGATATGGGGGTTTTCCCACTCCCAGATCCCTCAGCATGGCAAGGAGGCACACAAGAGGCACCCAGGAACTGAGGCCTTCTCTGGAGGGGAGTCCTGCTTCCCTCCAGAGCATGCACTGGTGGGCTGAAATGGCTGGCTGTGCTATTTAAATGTGTGCATGCGCACAGGCGCTCTCCCCACACAGAAGTTTATGAAACAGCTCTGCTGCACTGCAATCTGTATCCTCAGGACCTGAGCCAGAGGGGGCTTAAATAAAGATCTACTAAACTGAGCTGTTCATTCATTATGGAGCTTTGTCTTATTTTCAGAGCCTTTCATGATCAGGATGTACCTCATCCTTCTTTTGTATTGGACGCAGAAACCGGTGCAGTTCTGGGCACAAAGATAGTGTCCATTGAATCGTTGAATGGCTACCTGTTGGGAAGTGAACTGATACGACGGATGCCTCATCCCCTTTCTGCCCTCCCTCCACTCCTTATCCAGCCCACTGACAGACATTTGAGGTTCCTTGAATGGATGAGCTAGGATGGCAAATTAATATGGACTGGGGCAGTGAGGGATACCAGATGTTCCAACTCCTCATTAACCCAGGAACTTCTGACCTCTTCCCAAATCATAAAGCAGTGCCTTCACTTTAACACTGCAGATCCACGAGTTGAGACATCCACGCAGGCATGTTGGAAACAAGCTTAGCGCGCACCAGTAGGCGGCTTGGTCAATGAAGTTATGATACTTTTGTGCAGGAGACACACTCAATGGCCAATAGAGATGAAATTGAAGAATAATGGCATGTTATGAAGTCCACAGTTGAGTGTTTTAGATAAATATATACATATTATTTGTTCAGATATGCCCGTAATGTGTATGGACGTGTGTGTGTATATACACAGTGTGTGTGCACACGTGCAAACCAGCAGCACCACCAGGGAATTTGTCAGATATGCACATTCTCGGGCCCAACCCCAGACCTACTGAATCAGAAAATTGGGGGGGCAGGGCCCAGCCATCTGTTTTCACAAGCTCTGCACCCCAACCCCACAGATGATTCTGCTCATACCCAAGTTTGAGAACCCTGACTCATGGCTTTCCTGACACCCCTTTCTTCAGTCTCATTTGTGTTTCTTCTGCAGGCCCTGATCCAGCTGCCCCCCTATATCTCTCAGTGTGATGAGGTGCTGCAGTTCTTTGAGACAAGACCTGAGGACCTGAATCCCCCCAAAGAGTAAGTTGGGATGTGGACTTCCTCTGAGTGTGCCCTCCTGGCCCTCCCTGCTACCAGGCTGGCCCCAAGAGAATTGGTGTAGAGCCAAGGGAGAAATTACACTTGACCACACCGATTGAACACTTTTGGGGCCTGGCTCCATGTGGCCCTCCCAGGAGAAGGAAGCTGGCCTAGGGTCACTCCTGGAATCCCCTACACACCTGTACTTAGCAGGCATGCATGGAGAGTGGTGGGAGCAGAAGGCTGGGCTCCCTTCAGGTGGGGTCTATGCAGGAGATTCATCTTGGTGCCTTGCCCACAAGGGTGAATGTGCTCATGACCTTGAGGGATATGAATGAATGAGTGACAAGACCTACTCAAAGTCTCTGCACTAGCAAGTGACAGGGCCAGGGCCAGGATTTGATCCTGGTCATCCAGGGTCTAATGCTTGTCCAAAATGTTCACCCCAGCCCCTGCAGCAGACAGAAAACCCTCCCAGGCACCTGTCTGTGCGTAGCCAGGGGTCCCAGCAGCCCAGGCACACTGTATAGAATCTTACCACCTGCCTGCTGGCTTGACATACCAGGAGTTGATGGCACCAATAGCCCTGCCAGCCTGAAACACTGACATAAACATAGTGCTTTTTAAAAAGTTTTATTATGGAGGAAACTACCATGGGTGTCTGCAGAAAGAAGAGTTCTATTGAATGGAGCAATCATAGTATGCAAGAGGAGACCAGTTCACAGGTTCAGGGCTGTCATGGGGTCACAGGAACAAGAACCAGCACCTGTCAGGAAGGGCTGATAAGTGCCAGCCAGGCTATTTGACTAGAGAGACAGCATGTGTACAGGTGTACACACACGTGCACACACATGTACACACCCGCAAATAGAACAGCCACTAAAACTACAAAACATAGCCTGGACTATACCAAAGAAAGCACAGAGTACCAGCTGTGATAAGCCAACAGCATCCTGCTGGAGTAGTTGTATCTTGCTCCAAGAGGCTTCCAGTAAAGAAGGAAAGGGTTCCAATCTCTCTGTTCCTTCCCTGCTATATGACCTTGAACATTTGTCTTGACTTCTCTGAGCTGCTGTTTCCTCATTAGTAAAGTGGTCGTGGCTAACCTTGACCACATCTTGGTTGCGAGAATTAAGCATGATCCTGCCTATAAAGGAGTCTGGCACAGGGCAGGGACTTCCCTGGTATTGCCTTCCTGTTGATAGCCAGGCTTTGATATGGAAGGTAGAAGGGAAGGTTTCAGAGGGCCCATGGGATGGCTCTGGGGCAACAGCAGGCAGGCAGTTTCAGGTGGGTTTAGGGAGTAATGAACAGCAGCGAAACAACTGGTCCCTTGGTCAGGATCCTGAAGCTCATACCTGAGTTAGGGCTTAAGATGGAAACCGGGGGTTGTTCCCAACAGTCTCTAGGGAGAGAGAACATGGATTCCAAATGGTCCTATTAAAAGAAAGGTTTTTTTTACTGCCATGCATAGGTAAACTCGGGACCGTCCCAAGCATGTCACACAGAGAAGATAATATGCCTGTGTGAGCTCACACATGCTGTTCCAAGAGTTCTCTGCTGCCCCTAACTCCCTGCTCCGGCCAGGACAGCAAGACAACCAGCAGGAATATATGGCAGGCAGGAGCCCAGGACTTCAGGGAACCCAGACCATAGCTCAGGTCACAGGCCCTAATGGCAACCCAGGCAGATTATGCTTTACATAGAGGCAGCCTTGAGGGACCTTTGTGTGTATGTCTTGGAGCTGGCCACCAAAAAGGGAGCTTCACCCATGGACCAGGCCAGGGTGTAGTCAGGAGAGTGGGCCCCAGCTGGGCTTCCTGGGTTCTGATGTTGGGTGAGCTGCTTTACCTCTCTGGACCTCTGTGTCTCCTTCTGTGAAAAGGAGTAACCCTCAAGGATTATTGTGAGGGTTCACTGGGTCAGTCCAGATACAGCACCCTGACTAGTGGCACCCTGTATACAGCAAGTGCCTGTAAATGTGAGCTAGATTATTCCACTGTTGCTCTCACCCTCCCCTAAACAGGGGCAATGAAGGTTAGCCCCAGTGAGGTAATGCTGGGCCAGGGAACATCATGACCAACCTGCAGCCCCAAGCTCCGGGGATTGGCATAGCCCCCTCACCCACAGTGACAGTGACAGGGTCATTACATGCTGGTTAAAAAGCCAGACTGTAAAATCAGACTGAATTTGACATCTCTCCAAAGAAGATACACAAATGGCCAATAAGCATATGAGAAGATGCTCGGCATCATTGGCCATCAGGAAATGCGAATCCAAACCCCAGTGAGACACCACTTCACACCCACTAGAATGGCTAGAATCAAAAAGCAGATAGCAAATACTAGTGCTTCAGCTACTTGTTGAAGATGTGAACAAACTAGAATCATCATGCACTGTTGGTGGGAATGTAAAATGGTACAGCTGCTGTGGAAGACAGCCTGGCAATTCCTCAGAAAGTTAAACCTAGTGTTACCATATGACCTACATTCCATTCCTATACAGAACCAAGAGAAATAAAAATATAAAAAACTTGTGTACAAATGTTTACAGGAGCGTGATTCATAAGAGCCAAAACATAGAAACAACGCAGTTCCCGTCAGCTGATGAACACATCAGCGAAGTGTGGTTTACCAACAAGATGGGATTTTATCCAGCCATAATAAGGAATAAAATACTGATACTGGTACGACATGGATGGCCCTTGAACACATGCCACCTGAAAGAAGTCAATCACAAAAAGCCTTTTACTGTGTGATTCCGTTATATAAAACATCCAGAATAGACAAATCATTAGAGACAGGAAGCAAATTAGTATTTGAGTATTTGCCAGTGGTTGGAAGGAGTCAGAATAGCAAGTGACTGTTTATAGGTACAGGGTTTCTCTTTGGAGTGATGAGTATTTCCTGGAATTAGATAGCAGTGATGATTACACAGCCTTGTGAATATGCTAAAAACCAGTGAATTCTATGCTTTAGAAGAATGAATTTTTATAGCATAGCTTAATTTTGAAGTATAGCTTAATTTTTAAAAATTCGGTAGATCTGGGTTCAGCTTGCTACTTGCTAGCTGTTTAGCCTTAGGCAAGCTACCTAACCTCTCTGGGCCTCATTTTCTCATCTATAAAACAGATATTTAAAGAGTATTTATTTCCAGGGTTATTATAAGTATTAAATGAGTGAGCTTAACGTACCTAGCAGGGTACTGGCACGGGGTAATAACATGTAGTAATCATTAGCTAATGTTACTGCTGTCTCAACCATCCTGTCACCTCCCTTTTTTTATAATATAGGAAACCTTTTTACTAATGGGACAATTTACTTGAAAGTATCTTGTAATCCCTAATTTGTAATGCAGTTGCATGTACAAATTCTGATGTGGTTGACAAATACAAGGGAGTCATTACTCATTGTTCTGTATGAATTCTAGCCCACACCAGTGTTCTCTATGTCACCACAAGGGAGATGTGTTTTATTCACCGATATCCAGATATCTACCCAGTTTTAGTGCATTACGCTTACCACTTACCCCCAACAGCCTTTTTTTTTTAATTTATTTTTTTATTGGTGTTCAATTTGCCAACATATAGAATAACACCCAGTGCTCATCCCATCTACACACTCCATGTGTAGAGCGCAGAACAGCCCTAAGAAGTGGGGCAAGGCCTCTGCTGTGCCTGATGAGGTGAGCATCAGGCTCAGTGCAACATGGGGGCCTAATCTTGTTTTCATCCCATGTGCCGCCCTCCATCAACCCCTGCCCAGGGTGCCAGGGCTCTTATCAAGGCAAAGTAAGAAAATTAAGAGGAATTCTTTCTTTTTCAAAGAGTCTGGGTTCCTGGGGCTGACTTGGATTATATTCATTCCCTTGGAAATGATGTGGGATGGAGCATCTCAGTTTCCTAATGGAATAACTCACCTTGCTGTTTAACAGTACTGATGTGTTACTCTCTGCCACCCCCTTCTTTCCTGTGCAGGGAGCATGTTGGGAAAAAGAAATCTGGTAAGAATATTTTCCTTTTTCTCCTATTCATTTAACGTTCAACATACCCTCCTGAACACCTGTGATCACCAGGCCCTGGGCACTGCCTGGGGGATAAGCATGTGGCTGGCTGGCTGGGTGGGTGGATGGATGGATGGATGGATGGATGGATGGATGGATGGATGGGTTGATGATTGATTGGTTGATACTCCAGCCTGTTTCTCAAAAAAACAATTGGAGGTTTTTGCATCCTATACCAAAAAGTTGCAGAGTGGATGGGATGCCTGGGTGGCTCAATGGTTGAGCATCTGCCTTTAGCTCAGGTCGTGATCCTGGGGTCCTGGGATCGAGTCCTGTATTGGGCTCCCTTCAGGGAGCCTGCTTCTCCCTCTGCCTATGTCTCTGCCTCTCTGTGTGTCTCTCATGAATAAATAAAATCTTTAAAAAAAAAAAAAGTTACAGAATGGTTAAGACCTGCTGTCTTTCCCTGAGAATGCCTCAGAGGAGTGGGGGAACCTGACATCTCCTGACCAGCTGTGGGGGGCTAAATACTTCTCATCTGCTTTAGATGGAGGAATGTGGTGACTCACAGCGGAAAGCATTCCTCCCAGGTGTTGTAAAGTCTCAAAAGAGAAGGGATGCTGGGTCTTGAGGAGCGAACGGGAGCTTTCCACAGAGCGAAGGGCGGTTGAGGCTGAGGAGAGGCACACAGGCGGGTGGCGAGAGCCTCACATATTTGGACCAAGCTTCTATGCTTCTGTTAGTCAGCTGCTATTCTGGGCAGTAGCAGGCCACTCTTTCCAGCACCTCTGGCGCTCACTCCCTTCTCCTGAGCATCCTTTCCCTTCCTTCCCAGCACCCCTTCTCATCCTGGGATGGCACAGTTCTTCTCTCTAGAGCAATGATGTAAAAAGAGAAGGCGGGCATTCAAGTTTGCACAGAGGAATGGCTGAGTCCTCACAGGCCCAATAAATAAAGTTGATAACTTTATTTTTTTTTAAGATTTTTTTGAATTTATTCATGAGAGACACAGAAAGAGAGACAGACATAGGCAGAGAGAGAAGCAGGCTCCCTGTGGGAGGCTTGATGCGAGACTCTATCCCAGGACCCTGGGATCATGACCTGAGCCAAAGACAGGTGCTCAACCACTGAGCCACCCATGCATCCCTGGAGTTGATAACTTTAGATCCACACAGTGTGACCTTTACTTCCAGTGACCCAGGATTATGCTCCCTGACCCCACATATCTGCAAAATGCCCTGCCCACACCACCACGCCTGGAGCCAGCATGGTCTTCAGAGCTTCCAGCAGTCTGAGTTCTTTTATGCATCCAAGACTCTGGGAAGATTGAGGGCACTGATAATGATGTGGGGAGAGAGGGACCAAGCAGAGATCCCAGAAGCAAAAAAGGATGCCTCCTTTCATGGCTCTCAGTTCCCTCAGCTGTAAAAGGAGAATAATAATAGTAATCTGTCTTGGAGGATTATTAGAGGATTTATAGTAATATGTATAAAGCACTTAGAACAATGCCTGGCATATTTTAAGTGTGACATGTTTGCTGCAGTCTTTATACTGCCACCATTAATTCAAAGCACATGGGTGTCCCTGTCCAAATTTAACAGCTCTGGTCCCTTTACTGCTCCCTGGGTATAAGGCCTGTGGTCAGCTTTACAGGGCTCAGACTGTTCTTGCAAGGCAGAATGGAGAGGAGCTGCGTCTCTTGCCTCAAGGTTGGGCGTCTGGAGTGAACGCCCGTCTTTCCCCAACCAGTCTGTTTACAGCTCCACTTTCAAGTTTAATAGCTACTGGCCAGAACCATGGCATCCTGTTAGAGCTGCACATGGTCCTTGATTGCTGAGGATAATGATCGGTTTCTTAGAAAAGAAGAGAGAGGAGAAGATGAACAGCCACTCTTGGGCTGGTCACAGAGTTTCTGGCTTCCAGGGTGCAGAGACTTTCCTGGAGGGAATGGCTAAGGAAGGATTGGAAAGAGACAGCTCTGGTCTACAAAAACCAAAGTGTCCGGTCAGAACAGGCTTGATGAGGGGACTGGTCTGGAAAAGAAAGAAGAGGCTCTAATTTGTGGTGACGACTATTACACCATTCACCTGCAATGATGGGGGATGGATTTATTTATAGTTCATGGATGGAAAATTGCATCTTTCTTCATTCAAACTAAGGACCCATGCTGGGATTAGCTTTATTTTTTTTAATCTGACCTTTGGACACGTCCTTTTTGTTAGAACTTGCCTTCTTGATTGGCTGTGAAAGGGATTTAAGGTTGGCAGCCCAAACCCTGAGATCTCTGTGCCAGAACTCTGGACTGGAGACAGCTCATCTGTCTCCAGAATTTGCCAGTCCTGGCCAGCCAGCTGACTCCTGCACACTTTGGCTAATGTGGTCTCAATGTCTGCTCATCTTGCAGGAAAAAAGCCTCCTACCATAACTTAAGAGGTCATCAGATTATTTAAAGAGCATCTTTCTTCTTGATTTTTCTACTCTTATGGAAGCATTCTCTGATTTACTGGTTCTTTCAACAAAACTGGCAGTATAGGGCAGCCCAGGTGACTCTACGGTTTAGCGCCACCTTCAGCCCAGGGCCTGATCCTGGGCTCCCGGGATCGAGTCCCACCTCAGGCTCCCTGCATGGAGCCTGCTTCTCCCTCTGCCTGTGTCTCTGCTCCCCCCGCTCTCTGTCTCTCATGAATAAATAAAATCTTAAAAAAAAAAAAGACTGGCAGTATAGTAAATTTCTGGAAAGAAAATCCCACTGATAAAATTACTCGCTGTATTAGTCTAGCTTGTGCTGCCATAACAAAAATACTATTGACTTAATGGCTAAAACAACAGAAGCTTATTTCCTCACAAGGATGGAGCCTGGAAGTCTGAGACCAAGGTGCCAGCACCATCAGTTTCCATCAAGAGCCCTCTTCCTAGCTTCTAAACTGCTGACTTCTCCCTCTGTCCTCCATGGCAGAGAGAGAGCAAGAACAAGGTCTCTAGTGTCTCTTCTAATAAAGTCACTATCCCCATCATGGGGGCCCCACCCTCATGACCTCATCTAAACCTAATTACCTCCAGAGGGCCCGCCTCCACATGCCATCTCATAGTAGTTAAGGCTTCAACATATGAGTTTTGGAGGGACAAAATTCACTCCTTGGCAGTTATGTTTAAAACTCAAGACATGTCATCTGTGAATAAAAATATTCCAGTTAGAAAATTCTGTGGTACCTCGGGCACTATACTACTTGAGAATATTTTATAGTCGTTGCTTAATGTGAAAATCACCCTTCCACTGTCGAATCTCTCTACTAACCTCTTCCTTCTCTTATTCCTGATGGACCACAAGAATGGTGTTCCATACATAGGAATACTTAGATTTCAAACTTGCAGTTGCTGGTACTTGGTTAGCTACCGGCATCAACTTCTAGAGATTGCTGTTACAATGTGTTATAGAGCTTGGGCACAATATCGCTGTCCACCAGTAGGTGTCTCCACCTAACACCTAGCTGGCCTGAAGCCTAGTTTGAGAATCCTAGTCAGTCAAAGGAATGACATTTTCATAAGCTGAGTGCTCTGGGTAAAATGAAGACAGAAGACCTGGTGCTGGAAAAGCAGCCCTATGCACTCTCTTCCAAACTACTGAATGGCAGGGAAACGTCAGTGTAAAAGCTGCTGTCCTAGAAGAACAAGGAGATGTAAGACACAAACCTGACCCCTGAGCAAGTCTTGGAGGATGTGCTGGCTTCCCTGAGCCATGTGCCAGTAGAAGATCTTCTCTTGCCAGCCTAGAGTCCTAAACCTTGCTCCCTGACCTCATTTCCTGGATTGGTGTCTTGTTTGCAGTGAGTCTTGTGATTTTCTGCTTCTGTCATTGCTCTTCATTCTCCCAAGCCCCCTTGGCAGTCTGGTTGCTCCAGAGAATTGGTGCAGAAATGAATAGATCAGTCCATTGATCAGAATCCTAAAAACTGGGATAACAACCATCAGTTGTCAAAACTGGGTGGCTACAATTAGCTTTTTGGGCAGAGTAACCAGACTTAACTCCACCTTGACTTCATCAAACCTCTGTCCCTCCTTATAGGCAAGAAGGAGTAATCTTTAGTTGCACATAAAATTGGGCAGGTTCCTGCAATAACTGTCAGCATTATGTGCTCTTAGGAGGAGGCCTGGACCCATGAAAAGCAAAAGAGTTTCTAGAAGTTTCCCTTTGTCCTTTGGTGATTCACTCCACAGATATCCATTGAGTGTCTGTGCTAAGTATTGACTGAACAAGACAGACACAGTTACTTATTAAGTGTTTATTAGGTACCTACTGTACACCTGACAAGGCTCTAGGTCCCTAGGGAATGCAAAGGTAAACAAGATGTGGGAAGAATTCTTACAGTTTGGTAGGAAAAAGAGATGGTTAAACACTCTGTTATAGGTGCTATAAAGAAAGGCATTTTAATTTATTTCTGAATGAATTTCTGAGCCTTTAAAGGTGAGTTTTAGAAAAATCTTTTTTTTTCCTTCAGATATTTATTGAGCCTAGTAAGAGACATCCACATTCTAGGCCAGGGTTTGACCAGTTATAGGTGTCAGCCGCCTGCCTCCACCATCCCAAAGAATCCTCACTCAGACCCTGGTGCAGAGAATGGGGCCCCGGTGAGGATGCGAGTGAAGTCAGATGAGAGGGTGCTAAAAAGATCCACCTGCATCAAACCTGTGGCTGGGTGGGAAAGAATCCAGACCTACCTCCAGGTGGCAGCAGAGAGCTCCCAGGCAAGAGTATAGCCCTTCTGACCCTACCAGCCCCCTGACCTCCTTCAAGGAAGACCTGGACACATCCCTGGGTATTCATCTGAGCAGTGGGCACAGGTTCCAACCTGTCTGTGTAGTGGCTGCTTTTCTCCTGTCTCTCCAGTTCTTTCTCTCAGTTTGAGGCACAGGGAAACACAGTTGCCTAGATATGGCCCACCTGAGGGCCAGAACAGAAAGGTAGCTGCATGCCTAGGGTTGTGATCTGTAAGGCAGGCTATATCCTGGGATAAAAACTATAGACTCTGGTCTCTACCTGTTGCATTCCCTGGAGAACTTGTCCCCAGCTTGCAATAGCCAGGAGCCTCCAGCAGGCCAGCGTCTGCCCCCACTCATTCACATGATAGGACCTCTGTGAGCACAGTGCCAGGTGGTTCAGGACACTGTCAAGCCTTCTGCTGTCAAGAGCTCCCTATCTAATGGGTCCAGCGGGAGGGGCAGTAAGCAGCCTACCCGAAGGCCGCTACTGAAAGGCTCAAGCAGCTGGGCTGGCTGAGGTGGACTGTCGTACCGGAGGAAACCAGCCCTGTAGCCTGACCTTGGGGAAGGTGCCGGAGGATGAGAGAAGATAGCCCAGAGAGACACAAGAAAATCAGACCCAGCCTGACTGGTCTGAGGGAGTGAGTGCTTGTGGGGAGACCCACAGGGAAGGAAAGCAAGCGGGCCTCAGACCATCCTGCCTTCCCTAGCATCTTTTCTTTCCTCACCTACCCCCACCACGCCCCATCACACTGGAGAGCCTCTAAGCCCAGTGGACCTGGTTTAAGTCTGGCTTTGTCACCATCCAGCTGTGGGACCCAAGGCAAGTCACTTGATGTCTCAAAGCCTCTCTTTTTTTGTCTCTAAAGGAGGGGGAGGTGACAGTACCCATCTTCCAGGGTAGGTGTGTTGACGTAATTTATGATGTGTAGCCTGTGATGGGCATTCATGGGGGCCTACTTCCCTCCTGACCTGCTCCCAATCCTTCGGTCTACATTTCTATCTCTCTCCTCTGCTCTTTCTCTGTTCCCATGCTTTCTCTACCCAGGGCAACCTGGGACCCTCCCCGGTTCCTGTTTCCCTCCATTACCCTCAGCCGGGAAAAGCCAAGAAGCAGTGACACTTCACCCTGCTACAATGCCCTATTCTGGTTTTCCACATCACAAATTCAGAGCACATGGTTCTAACAAAGGGCTTTTGTGCTGCTTCTGGATGCTAGAGGCAGGAGCGCACTGGCATGCTGGTAAACACTTCACGACCAGCTTTCTGATCGAAAGCCCTGCTTTGTAGCATTTGCCAATATCCATGGTGTAAATACTCCCACTGTGGCCAGTTTCAAACTACCAGCAAGGCGTCACCCAATAGAGCTGGGAAGGGAAGCACAGAATCGGTAGTGTGAGCTGACCCACACACACCACTCCATTATTTGGTGTGTTTGAACACAGAAATGTGGGATTTCCTGGATATTTCAATTGTTTATGGAAACAATAGGAGGGAATACTGTGAATCAGGACTTTCACAAAACCAGGGCACTGTGGCCACAAATGTCAGGCTGCCCTCCCACCACATTCACTCTGCTGCTCTGAAAGGGCTGTTCCCTTCTCTTTGGAGTCTCTGAACTCAGATGTCCCTCTACATCACCCATATTATATGGTATCTTCCTCTGTTTATCAGATATGTCTTAGTACATAACCAGGACCATGCAACTCCGGAGGGCACGGCATCCTGCGGAAACAGCCTCTCCTGGAGCACCTGTCCATACCCTTCTCTTCTCACTGCCACTGCTCTGGTCCAAAGCTACCATCGTCTCCTGCCTGACAACTCCATGACCTCCATCTGGTCTCCTCCGTTCTTTCTTGCCAGCCTCTAATCCACACTCCATGTGGCAGCCAGAATTACCTTTCTCAAGATGTCAATCTGCATTTTTCGTTGGCTTCTTAAAGCTCTTTAGCAGCTTTCTGCTTGAGGGTTAAAAAAAATCAAAACTTCCTGTTCTGACCCATGCCTACCTGTGTATCCTCACTCACTGGGCTTCAGCCCCCTAGCCTCCTCCCTATTCCTAGAAAGCTGTAGGACCTTTCCTATCTGAGAGGCTGCCTGCATCATTCTCTCCCCATTCTCTCAGGGAGAGAGAATTCATGTCCCCTCCTTAGGGGACCCCCTTGGATGTGGCATCGCCTTTCCCAATCATTCTTGGTCCAGTATCCTGGTTGTCTTCAGCAATGCAGCAATCAAATCTGATACTTTATATCATCCTGTATACTTATGATTATCTATGTTTGTCCATGTGTCTATCTCTCCCACTAGATTAAGTTACTCGAGGCTGGGAGTCATATCTGTTTTGTTCAGTTTAGTACCCCCTAGCATCTAATAGAGTGTCTGGAACATCACTGGTGACCTCATGAATTCATAGATGGGTGATTTTGGATGGGTGGATGGATGATGAATGGATGTTTGGTTGGATGGATGATGGATGGGTGAGTCATGGCAGAGGGACAAATGGAAGGAAAGACTGATGTGGGTGAATGCACTTTCCCACTAGGCCATCAGCTTCTTCAGGGCAAGTGCCATATCTTGACCAACTCTGAATCCCCAGTGGCTTGCACATTTTCTGCATCGAATAGGCACTTCGTAAATTTTGACAGTTGCTTGAGCAAATTAATGAAAGAATGAATAGATGAGGTGACCCTTGAAGTAAGCCCTATAATAGCTTCTTTCAGGCTTTGCAATGTTCTCCTGACCCATCCTCTACCCTCCTGGCTCCTGCTCCTTTATGTGTGGGTGGTGGCCAGATGTGACATCTGATAAGGTTTTGTATCCACAGGGGGTGACCTGACCTCAGTGGACCCCATGGTCCTGGAGCAGTACGTGGTGGTAGCAGACTACCAGAAGCAGGAGAGCTCGGAGATCAGCCTCAGTGTGGGGCAGGTGGTGGACATCATCGAGAAGAATGAGTCAGGTAGGGAAATGAAGCCACCTCCCTCCCTGCCCTACACTGTCACCAAGCCCCTAGGACAGGAAGGATTTGGAAACAGAAACTACAGTAGCTGGTCTAAGCTGGGCAGTTTCCATAGATCCAGCTGACACTCTCTTAGAAAGCTACCCCCGTCTGATCACAGTGCTCAAATATCCAACTTGGTCACAACTTACCAGCATCCTTTTGGGTCATTTGTTACCGATTTATTCTGAGGGCCACATTTCATGAATCTGTCTTCTGGTTTCAAAGCACTTGGAGACATGGAGTCTAGCATTCCACTGGAAATTTGCCTTTGATTACCACAGGACCCTTCATGAAGGCTCCATCAGCTGTGGGCTCTGGTGGGACAGTCATACCACCTATCTCCTTGCCCCACCCATCATCACAACTTCCACTGGTCATGTACACTGGTCAGGTCTGGAACAGAAGGCAATATGATCAAACACTTAGCCTCTGTTTCCATCTGAACTCTGCATTATACAGCAGTCCAGCTTGCTGCTTCTCTCTAACCCTCAATTCTCCCATATGCAAAATAGAAAAAGCTTCAGGGCACCTGGGTGGCACAGTCGGTTGGGCACCTAACTCCTGGTTTTTAGGCTTGGGTTGCGGTCTCGGGGTTGTGGATTCAAGTCCTACATTGGGCTCCACACTCAGCCCAGTGTGCTTGGTACTATCTCTCCCTCTGCCCCTCCACCCTACCCCTGCCCCAAAAAATAAACAAATAAATCTTTTTTAAAAAATAGAAAAAGCTTCTATTTCAAAAAGCTGTTAAGGGATCCCTGGGTGGCGCAGCGGTTTGGCGCTTGCCTTTGGCCCAGGGCGCGATCCTGGAGACCCGGGATCGAATCCCACGTCGGACTCCCGGTGCATGGAGCCTGCTTCTCCCTCTGCCTATGTCTCTGTCTCTCTCTCTCTCTCTCTCTCTGTGGGACTATCATAAATAAATAAAAATTAAAAAAAAAAAAAAAGCTGTTAAAAGGATTAAATGAGATACTACTTAGAGTGTGCCTACACCCATGCCCGGCACGTAGTAAGTACTGAAGGATGTGGTTTGCTTTCCTCTTGCCTTCCTTAGCCACAGAGCAGCCGTTGACACCACTGAAGGCAAAGAGCAAGGAGTAGGGGATGAGCAGATCCCTTCCAGGAAAAAAAAATGGCGTAAACTCACTGGGCTTTGTTGTGGCTAAAATGTGACATTGTCTAACAATATCATTAGTAGGCCTACCTCTGAGACACCCCAATGACTAGATACAGGCCAACAGAGCAGAAGGGCTGTGTTTGCAGCAGCATCTGGATCATGTTACCATTAGTCATAAGATCAGCATTAGCCCACTGCCAATATATAGCAACTGCCATCCCTGCATCACAGCTAAAGAAAACAAGACTCCAAGTACCATGGCCACTCACCGAAGATCTCAAAACAGGTTACCAAGCTGGCATTCCAAACCAATTCCAGCTGGCCTCAAGGCCATGCATGTGACTTTCTAATTCCTGGGAATGAGTATATGCAGATTATGGATGTGGCTGGGATGCCCCAATGAAACTAGAAAGGCAGCCCCCACCCCCCTGAGCAGCCTGTGTGCCTCAAGTCAGGAAGAATACATTGCCGGGAGGAAAGTAGCAGCCAGGATGGGGTGTTGAAGATAATAAGCCTGGTATGTGCACAGACAAGTGGGGGAAGGGGGCTTCCAGTGGCCACCAGACTGTCAACACTTATGTTTAATTATATTTTACTGACCCAAGTATATGTGGACACATTCTTCTTAAAACATTAATGATAAAGTTAAAATCTGTTGTTTTGGGGCATCCCGGGTGGCTTAGCGGTTTGGTGCCACCTTCAGCCCAGGGCCTGATCCTAGAGACCCGCGATTGAGTCCCACGTCGGTCTCCCTGCATGGAGCCTGCTTCTCTCTGCCTGTGTCTCTGCCTCTCTCTCTCTCTCTCTCTCTCTCTCTCTCTCATGAATAAATAAATAAAATCTTTAATAAATAAATAAAGCACAAATAAAATAAAGTAAAATCTGTTGTTTCCATTAGCTTCAACCTTAGTCCCAAACCTTAGTTTCCAAACCCCAGATAGACCTTCTTTCAGTTTACTATGAATCCGTCTTAATAACTGTATACACACATACACCTGTGTTCACATATGCTGTCCTGTACATAGGCGTATGTGTGTATACATGTCTTCATGCATATGCGTGCATATATGTATATATATGTATATGTTTATTTGTGGCCTGTGTCTCTGCATGTGTGCAGATGTGTACTCATACATAGATACATAACCATATGCACACACAATATTTTGTGTGTGTGAATATAATTTTGTAGTTTTTTTTAACCCCAGTGGCATCATTCTGTATATTTAATCATTTTGATCTGCAATGTGCTTTTTAGTCAACATTTAGCCCTTCTTACTGCTTCAACATCTATATACTATTTGATCTGAATAAACCATATTTTTCTCTAGCATGAACAGTCTGTCCATATGCAAAACACTCATCAGTGAGTGTTTCCTTGGGTTAGATATCAGACATAGTACTAGACCATAGGTACACATATTTTGAATTTTAGGATACTGCCAAATGACCTGCCTCGAAACTGGCCATGGCAATTTACTCTCCCTCTAGCAATGATGAAGCATTAGTGCAGATGGTTGCGAGCTGAGACTGTGAGGCTAGGACAGCCTAGGACTGAATCCTGACTCTGCCGCTTTCTTTGTGACCTTAGTCAAGTCATTGCCTCTCTGAGCCTCAGCTTCCTCATCTGTAGAATAGGGCAGTCATAGTACACAGCTCATAGGGCTCATGTGAAGACCCAGCCTGTCAGTAGTAGATGTGAAGTGCTGACAACCTGGCACACATTGCTGTCGTTGTTGTATTGTGACAAGTTTGCTTAATCCCCACACAAATACCTACAAATATGAGTTCTTAAGAAGACATACAACATATCTCCTAATTTCTAGATTTCCACAGATCTGTCCACCCTGTTCACTCACACCCATGCACACAGTTCCCAGCCACCAAAACTTGTGTTTTATTTTTTATTCTTTTTTAAATATTAATTTATTTATTTGAGAGAGAGAGCAGGGGGAGGGACAGAGGAAGAGGGAGAGAGAGAATCCCACACAGACTCCCTGCCAAGCACGGAGGCCAATGCAGGGTTCAATCCCATGACCCTGAGATCACAAACCTGAGCCAAAACCAAGAGCTTAACCGACTAAGCCACCAACTGGTGCCCCCCAAAAAATTATATTTTAAAAGGAGTGTCCAGTTGAGTAAAGCAGATGACTTCCATTTCAGGGAGGTCAAAAGCAGAGGCTTTGCTGTAAGACCAGGAAGGCTGCTCAGTAGTCTGCCGCTGCCTTCTCTTCTTTTTTGGGGTCTCCAGGGCTTGGAGGTGTGTGATGTTTGGAAGCAGATCTTGTTTTTCTTTTTCTTTCTTTTTTTAAAAAAAATATTTATTTCAGAGAGAGAGCACCTGTGTGAGTGGGGGGAGGTGTGGGTAGGGAGAGAAGCAGACTCCCCACTAAGCATGGAATCCCACACAGGACTCCCTCCCATGACCCTAAGGTCATGACCTGAGCTGAAATCAAGAGTCAGCTGGTGCCCCCAGGTTCTCTTTCTCCATTTATATTGTGCACAGCCAGTTGGGCCCTGTGATGATTTCTAGTTGCCACGAATTACCACGAACTTAGGGACTTCAAACAATGTAATTTAATCATCCCACAGTCCTATATGTAGGTCAGAAGTCCAAGGTGGGTTCCACTGGGCTAAAATCAAGGTGTTGGCAAGGCTGAGTTCCGAACTGCAAGGTTCTAGATAGGATGTGCTTCTTTGCCTTTTCCAGTTTCTAGAGGCCACCACATCGCTTGGCCCAAGGTCCCTTCCTCCATCTTCAGAGCCAGCAGTGTTGTACCTTTCTTGTCTTCCTCCGCAGCTGCATCTCCCCCAACTCTTCTTCTGCTTTCCCTGTAACTACAGGGGGCCCCCCCAGATGATCCCAGATACCCCCTATTTTAGCTGGGCTGCTTTGTGACCTTAAACCCACTGCCTGCCGACCTTAATTACTCTGTGCCATGTAACTTAACATACTCATAGGTTCTGAAGATTAGGACGTGGACATCTTTGGCAAGTCATTATTCTGCCTACCACAGGATATGAGCCCTCTCTCTAAAGAAGGAGGGCCTGGGTCTGGGTGAGAGGCCCCTCAGGCAGTTACATCACAAACAGATTTACCCTGACAGGAGCAAATGCAAGATCAGTGTCTCGGCTAAGTCATGAGGGCAGCAGCTTCAGCATCAGACAGCCCTGGGTGCACGAGCAGCTGTGCCCTAAGTTTCCTCACCCATGCAATGGGGATGATAATGTGAAGATTAGATAAAACAGTCCAAGTAGGAGCGCCTGGGTGGCTCAGTGACTGAGTGTCTGTCTTTGGCTCAGGTCTTGATCCCAGGGTCCTGGGATTGAATTCCACATCAGGCTCCCTGCATGGAGCCTGCTTCTCCCTCTGCCTGTGTCTCTGCCTCTCTCTCTCTCTCTCTCATGAATAAATAAATAAAATCTTAAAAATAGTGTGAGTAAAATGGTTACATACCCTAGTGCAGGTAGCTACATTCTTTACTCTCATCATTCAGGATGACCTTTCTCTCCCCTGCAGACTCAGGAGTGGGGTTTCTCGTTAGGCTGCCCTGAGCAGTTAGCAGGCAGCTAACACAGGGAGTTGTGTTGCTCTCAATAAGATGGTGACTTTTTTTGCTGTACCTGAAGCATGGACTCTTGTAGTGGCTGAATGTGTTATATTCTGACCCCCAGGCTTCACACCCGACCCAACTAACTTCAGTCTGCACTCTCATTTTCCCAGGTTGGTGGTTCGTCAGCACAGCCGAAGAGCAAGGCTGGGTCCCCGCAACCTGCCTGGAAGGGCAGGATGGTATGCAGGATGAGTTTTCCCTACAGCCTGAAGAAGGTAGGAAGGAGCAGGAGCCTTGAATTTGTCGCAGAGACCTGTGCCAGTCATCACCCATGTGGGGGCCTCCCTGCCTACTCCCTCAGTGCCCTTCAGCCTCTGCCCCCCAAATCTCAGTGGCTCACAGGCTCAGGACATGAAGCCAGGCTGTGGGGTTGTGGCTGATGGCAAGCCTGTCTTTTCTTAGGGGCTTTTAGGGGCCAACCCTCTCCACCTACCCACTTCCATTACTGGGGAAACTTATCTTCCGGGTGTCCCCGGGGGTGGTTTCTGCGATGCCCCAAATACTAACGCCCAACTGTCTCCCAAGTTCCCCACTAGAAGCATTCCTGAAACTGGAGGACAAGTTCATCTTAGCTAATAAACAGAAGGCTTTGAGAGCCAGACACACCTGAATGGGAATCAGCTGTGCCACTACGGGCTGAGTTGGGCCAGCAGCTTGACCCCTGTCTGCCCTACCCCCCTCCTCTAAAAATGAAAATGATGATGTCTGTATCATGGATTTTTTTTTTAATTAAATGGGATTCCACATGCAAAGCCTTTGGCAAAGAACCTGAAACAATAAGTAACTACAACAGTTATCATATAGCTATGCCTTACCCAGGGTTGAACATTTGGGGCTTTTAGCTGTTTGGGGAAAGCACAAAACCACTTTATCAGAAAGGAAGATAAGAAAGGGGATATTTCTGTGCTCAAAGGTTAATAAAAATGTCTATGTGCTTTTGCATTTAGTTTTATTACAGCCAGCACCCCTCAGAGTGAAACATCTGTTGGTTTGCTCTGTGTTTTGTGGGGCCCTACAGGCCCCAGGGGTTGGGCCAGCTAAAAGAATCAACTCAGATGCAGGGGTTGAGGTATAGTGTATAGAAATTGTAACTCCCTTAAATAGTTAATGATGACCATTTACGGGCATCCCTCTGTAAGGGATTGATTATTAACCTCATTTTACAGATGAGACAGGCTCAGAAAGGTAAAGACACTTGCCTGGGGTCACACAGCTAGAAGATGGGAGAGATACCACATTTTCCTAAGTCTGTACATTTTTCTTCCCCCGACACAAGGGCTTCTCTTAGTGTCTCTTTCTAAATCATGCTAGGAATAGAATAAATTCATTCTTGGGTGGCCTCTGCACCCAAGTCCAAGGTTAATACTCAAGGATTTGGTCCTTTTGAGACACCTGGGGCTTGGTAGAGGCTCAGAAATAATTACTCCTAAATGGGAATAAGTGCTTGATGTCCCCTTTGCCTCCAGACACTGGAAGTGCTTTCTCCTCACCTATGCCTTCTCCGCTTCACCTCCACATGCTGCCTGTCCAGTCTCATGGAGGTATTGGTCTTTGCCCCGGCCCGTGGGCCGCCGCCGGACTCTAGGGGACTTGTATGCCATCAGCTGGCGTCAAGGTGCCTACCCTGGGGTTTTCTTCCATGTTCGGTGTTTGGAGCTGGGGCCCTGCATCTGCATGCGCCTTCCTGTTCGAGGACTGCCCGTGCCTGTTGCATGTGAGAAACAGTGCCCTTGTCTGTGCCCTGTGTGTGTTGGCATGGAGGTTTGAGCAGTATTTCTCAGCCTGGGGCTCTATAAAGCTTCCCAGGTTAAAAAAATAACACCTGGGGCCTCTACAATGCTGAGCCAGTGACCTGTTTCTTTCATCAGACACATTAGAAGGAAAAGAAACCCACATCAAACTGTCTTAAGTAAAAAGGGAAGTGTACTAGCTCATCACTGAAAAGTCTGGGGAAGGACTAGCTTCAAGCATGACTTGAAAATGTTGTCAGGCCCTGAGACTCACTCTCCCCACCCCTGCTCTGCTTTCTGCCTTGCAGACACCATTTTCTCCTGACAGCAATCTTAAGCATGTTTTGGGGCTACCTAACCGAGAGAGCTTCTCCTTCAACACAGGTCCTAGGACTGGTTCTCACTGGTTCTGATAGCTTGGGTCCCGTGCTATCCCTGAACCCATAGCAGTGGCCAGGGGAATGCATATGGCACTCTGGTCAGGACAGAGTCATGCACCCCCTTTCCCCCCAGGCAGTGGTGAGGTCAGCCTTCCCCAAACCGTGTGGACAGAGGCTGGTAGTGCCAGCAGAGGAAGAACAGATGGATGCTAAGCAGGCACTGTCAGCAGGCACCTGCCATGCAGTCAGCATGGTCTCCCATTTTAAGCTTTGTTAAGGATCACTGAGTGTTTCACGGAGCCCAGAGAGAGCCTCTGGGTGCCAGAGAATCTCCCTGTGTAATTCAGCAGGAGGATGGGGCCCCACAGGAGTCCAGGGCCCATAGGACTGACTGCATTTAGTCTAGGACCCAGGCAGCACCCCTTCTCACCCAACGAGATAGAACTTCTGTGCCTCCATGGGCTTGAATTAGCCCCTGCACCCCTCACAATGCCCACACCCCACCCTGCTGCCACGTGAGTGAGGGAAACAGCTGAGTCTACTATACACAGGATATGTGTAACTTGAGTCAGCTCAACCCCCGCAGAGCAGGTCAGTGGGCTAGATCAATCAATAAATAAACTCCCTGTGTGCTTGCCACCTCTCTCAACACCAGCCGGACAGGCCGCAGACAGCCTGTGGTGTTTTCCCAAAGAGAGAGAGTCGGACCCAACACACTGGCCATCAACATCAGCCCACAGCTGGCTCAGTCACTCCCTGGGGGCTGGAACATAAGCAAAACAGGAAAGTGTCCTCGCCAGGGTCCCCCGGGACACTTACCCGGTCTGTCTCAGCAGTCGCTGCTGACAGTGTGGAGCATGGGAGCTCTACTCTTGTTCTCCAGAGGGCCCTAACAGAGTGCGACAATGAGCAGTCTCCCAGCAGAGCCTGAGCAATGGCTCCGTAGCTTTGAGGGGAAGGAATGGGGAAACCACTGAGAGAGAGGTAGAAGGCACCTCAGTTACACTAATGAAAATTGAAGCAGGCAGTAATTTTATTGTGCGTGTGTGTGTGTGTGTGTGTTTATATATAAAATCATTATGTGGCACACTTAAAACTAAGACAGTGTTAAATGTCAATTATATCTCAATAAAATAGCCAAAACATTAAAAATAAAATTAAAGCTTCAAGCATGGTTGGATCCAGGGGCTTGAAAATAATTAATGAAAAACAAAGATCAGTTACCAGCTAGGTAATGAAAATTTCCTTAAAAATTAAGGAAGGTCCCAGTGAAGAAACAGTCACATGTCTTACCTCCTGTCCTAGTCCCAGAGCCTGTAAAGGTGAACCCACTGGGGCTGGCTTGGGGAAAGGAGGAAACTTGCTCCAGAAGGAACTGTCTGAGGGATCATAAGGGATTTCTAAACATGGGAAAAGAGAATAAATCATTTGGTGAAGTCAACTGTACATACTTCAAGTCATTTTTGGTGCAACCTAGCTGGAAATTAGCATGTAATTGATTGAGCCTTGCTGAATAAAAGTTTAACCTTCAAAAAAAAAAAAAGGAAAGGAGAGGAGAGAGGAAAGAGAAAGAAAGAAAGAAAGAAAGAAAGAAAGAAAGAAAGAAGAAAGAAAGAAAGAAAGAAAGAAAGAAAGAAAGAAAGAAAGAAAGAAAGAAAAGGAGAGGGGAGAGGAGAGGAGAGGAGAAATTTACTAGCTCTCACCTCCTTGATAATGATTTCAGCCTGAAACTATCTGCTGCCAAAAATCCAGCTCATCCCTGACCCCTCTACCAGCAAGAACTGTGGAGGAGGGACAGATGAGTTAACTCCCTCTAGTATGAGCAAGACAGCTCCCACTAGGCCCTTCATTTCCTAAACGCTGACTAATTTACTAATAAACAGTTACACAATATTCCCAGGACTGTACCCAGTGCTAGAGTCAGAGAAATGAATGAGACAGACACAAATCCCTACCTTCATGGCGTTTATATTCAAGCAAGGAACACAGACACAAAACACAATAAATAAGTAAATTATATGCTTTGTTAGAAGGCAATTCCTGGTATGGGGCAAAAAATAAACCTAGGTAAGGGGGACGAGGATGCCATGGGTCTGAATACTGCATAAAGGTCAAGGAAGGTGACCTTGAAGCACAGCTTTGAGGAAGATGAGGACAAATGTGTGACACTGAGGGATTTCAGAGGTATTGGGACCTGACCTTTGTCCTATGTCCTGTTCCTGCTTCCAAGGGTCATCCAAAGCTAAATGAAGGCCTATGGGGTCCCCAGAAATTTCTTTTTTTTTTTTTTAAAGATTTTATTTTTATTCATGATAGTCACACACACACAGAGAGAGAGAGAGAGGCAGAGACACAGGCAGAGGGAGAAGCAGGCTCCATGCAGGGAGCCCGACATGGGATTCGATCCCAGGCCTCCAGGATCGCGCCCTGGGCCAAAGGCAGGCGCCAAACCGCTGCGCTACCCAGGGATCCCATCCCCAGAAATTTCTAAAGGAAATCTTTCCCTCTGATGGGTAAGGGCATCTCATGGATCACAGCCTCAGCAATCAGCATCCCAGGACTCTCCCTTATCCTTGACTTAACCCAGCATCCCTTTGTTCCTGCAGAGGAGAAGTACACAGTCATCTACCCGTACACAGCTCGTGACCAGGATGAAATGAATCTAGAGAGAGGGGCCGTGGTGGAGGTCATCCAGAAGAACCTGGAAGGCTGGTGGAAGATCAGGTACCTGCTGCAGCTGGGTGGGCTTCAAGTCACACGGTCTCTGGGTGCCTAGAGGTCTAAGTGATTACAGATGGATAGTGTAAGGTTTTAACCTAAGCCATAAAAGGATGCTTCTCTTCAGTGCCCTTTGGCCTCCCACCCTATCCAGGTCCTTCTCTAAAAATCTCTAATAAGGGCAGCCCTGGTGGCCCAGCGGTTTAGCGCCACCTTCCGCCTGGGGTGTGATCCTGGAGACCCTGGATCGAGTCCCCCGTCAGGCTCCCTGCATGGAGCCTGCTTCTCCCTCTGCCTATGTCTCTGCCTCTGTGTGTGTGTGTGTGTGTTATGAATAAATAAATAAAATCTTTAAAAAAATAAAATTTTAAAAAATCCCTAATAAGCAAAACCTCCAAACACACAGATGGTAGTAACCTCATTGAGCAAGACTGGTTTCCACCTCCATGTGTTTCTCGTAAGGAGAAGCTGTGCTGTTCTGTGTGGGTGATTTCCCACTCCAGCCCTGCTCAGAGACCAGGATGATGGCAGAATACCAGAGGGACTGCAGCTCATCCTGGAGCTGATCATGTGCCCTCCTCTCACAGAATCCAATAGTAAAAAGCAGGAGACCAGCTTTCAAACTCTTTGTCCCAACTCTTTCACCTATAGAGTGAAATCAACACATCATGAGTATATAGGTAGCCAACTCATTCTGGCCTGCCTGGCAGTTTCCCATTTTGGGGAATGAAAGTCCTGGGAGCCCCTTCTTGGTTATCCTAGTAGGCAGACTGTGGCCATAAGAAATTAGGGCAAGGAAAGAAGCCTAAGGTCTCGGGGACCTGGTGTCTGTGCAGCCATGTGAAGCAGGGCATTAGAGCCACTCATATGGGGCCCAAGCCTGTGGCACTTTATTCATTCACTCAGCAATACACACCAGGAGTATTTTCCAGGCCAGGCCCTATTCTGGGAGTTGGGGAGTCAACAATGAGAAAGATACAGTAGTTCCTGCCAGCAGGCAAGGAAGTCAGACTCTGTTCTAGGGCAGGCTGGTGTGTGGGGATCTGGAGCATAGAAGAGGGGCTCCTTGGCCCAGAGGTCAGGAAGGCTTCTTGAGAGGGGACTGGGGAACTGAGGTTTGAAGCAGGAGTAGTGGCAGTGACACCTAACGTATCTTGAGTATATATGGTATAAGCTGTATCACAAATTATCCCAAAACTTAGTGGCTCTAGAATTCAGGAGTGGCTTAACTGGGCCCCTCATGAGACTGCAGTAGGAGGTCAGTGAGGGGTGCTATCATCTGAAGGTTCAACTGGAGCTGGCAAGAGACAGAGCTAAGATTTAAACTTGTACCCCACTCACGTCTGCATGTGTTGCTCTGCGCATGGCTCTGACTGAAGACAGTAAACTGTCTTGTGCTGAGGTCCTGGATTGGATGTAGCATGACATTTTCCAGTTCAGACAAGATTTACTCCCTGCTCCGAGGGTATTTTAAGATCAAGAGATATAGACTGCAGATTTCGATTTCCTATAAATTGGCTTCCAGTTATAAAGGAGCTTTTTGTCATTGAAACACAGTGCCATTTAGTTCGTAAAGTGATTCTTGGCAAGAGATTTGCTGTATGTCATCTCTAGCCATTTGGGTTTATTCAACTGTCCCCTAAGGTGTGGATACCTGTTTTGTGGGCCAGACCAGTGAGGTGCTTGTAAACAGTTAACATCTAGTTCTCTGAGGGAAAACTGCCCTTGAGTTGTGGTGTTTGCCAGTTTGCATAGTATAAATACTCTCCCTGGGTGATTTCAGGCCATCCGTTGCCATGTCAGTAACTGGAGTTTGGAAGAGACATACACAGCAGACTCTCCTGAGCTGGTGCAGGTGGGCTCCAGCGCTCCTCTGGTCCGGATGGGCCCCTCCAGTCATGCTATTTCACTGAGCTCTGTTGTGCAGAGAATGAAGTGATCATCTCACTCACTGAATCCCTGTGGAATTCAGTGAGCTATCTGTCAGGGTCTTGGTCACCGTGCTGATTCTTAGAAAGCCCTGGAACCAGCCCCCGACTGGCTTCATTCCCCTCTGAAGGGAACATGTTTAATCTACATGTTAACCAATGTGATGGAGCCCCACCCTGCCCCTGCCAGGCTTTGTGCCAGAAACTGGAGCTGCTGGGAAGAGGCAGCGAAATACCGAGGTTAGGAGCAGACTAGACTGGTGCCAGCTGCCTAGGTCTGAATCTGTTTCTGCTGCCTCCCAGGGTTGGATGGATGAAATACATCAACAGCTATAAAGTGGTTAGAACAGACTGGCACACAGTAGGTGCCCAATAAGTGCCAGTTATCATCATCATTGCCATCACTGCAATGACTGTAACAGAACTGCAAGTGTAGCAGATGCTTTGTGGCTGCTCACCTTTGCCGGGCCCCTGGGTAGTTTGTCCACTTGTCCTTTTATTTCTTCATTCAATTCACTGGGACTGAGGCTCTTGCCACACAGACATCAGTTGAGTGCCACCTTTACCCCAGGAGTGTGTGTGCTCACTGGGAACACAGAACCACCACAGATAGCCAAGTGTCTCTGTGTCATAGGGTGCTGGGGTGGTGGTATGTGCAGGAGACAGTGGAGCACTGTGGAGGGCAAGCTTTATTCTCTGTGAGCCTCAGGAAAGGCTTGGAGAGGAAAAGACATTAATTAAACAGAGCTAGGGAAGAAAAGCAGAAAGGAGAGTGGGAAGGGGCTTTCCTGACACAGGGTTATCATGAGCAGAGGCCAGGGGAGTGAAAGGTGGTGGTACATTTGGGAGACTAAAAGCCTTATGGGATGGGAGGGACATAGAGGTTGCTATGAGAGATGAGACTGGGGAGGCAGGAAGAGGCTGGATTAGAAAGGCCTTGAATGCCGAGCTGAGGGCAGCGAGGGGTGTGCCAGCCTCTGGCCAATCATTCCTGCCATCTGGGTCTTGAAGTATAATGCACAGAAGCACAGCTTCTTCCCATAGGCCTGGCAGAGCAGCCTTTTCAACATCCTTCCTCCTCCCAGGTACCAGGGCAAAGAGGGCTGGGCCCCAGCCTCCTACCTGAAGAAGAGTAGTGGGGAGCCCTTACCCCCGAAGCCGGGCACCGGCTCGCCTGCCCACACTGGCATCCTCGACCTGGACGGACTTTCCCGGCAGCAGAGCTCAGTGGGTCGGGACAGGGAGCTGCTCAACAACCAGAGGGATGGCCGGTTTGAAGGCCGTCCGGTGCCCGATGGCGATATCAAGCAGAGTGAGTGATGCCCCCACCACCCAACCAAGCTCTGGGAGGCTGCATGCCTATGTGTGCCAGCTCCATGCTCAGAGCTCCTCACATGTTGTTCCTCATCCTCACAACAGCCCTGCTGCCCAACATCCTGCAGACAGAACAGGCACAGAAACCCTGGGTTGCTTATTCCAGACCATGGTTTTTCCACCATCTCATGGTAATCATGATAGCTCTTACTTCTCAAGTCCTACATGTGCTGGGAATCTTATAGTTAGCTTCATTGGCTCCTTATAACAACTTTTGAGGGGCTAAATTACTTTTGTTTTACAGATTAGGAACCAGGGAGGTAAAGTGGTTTGCCCAGGGCCACTCAGCTAATAAACAGTGGGGCTGGGACTTGAACCCAGGCCCATGCCCGTGCCCTCTCTGCATGGCCTTATTTCTGAGCTGGAAGAAGTTGACCTTGAGTTGACTCGAACAACAATTCCTCACCCATCTTACTTTCCAAAACCTCCCACCTCCCATATATTTGTTTCTATTTATGTTCCCAACACACTTGAGAGCAGGGCTCCTCATTATGGTCTGCGGCATGCCCAGGACCCCAGCCTTGGGCACATGGCCCTGTCCTGGTGGCAGAGGGTAGGAGGAAGCCCAATGCTAGGAAAGTCCCCTGCCTTCCCCTTGGCTGGGCTTCTCCAGCTGTATATCGTGGCTCAGCAAACCTCTAGAAATCAGTGAATTCTTGAAACTCAAGAATTTCTCAATCCTCTGCTCAGCTGATTTCTCAGAAGAAAACACTGACATGCCATGGTGGGGGTTCCGGGCAGCCCCAGCTTTCTGTGCTTCTGTCACAGACAAGAGCACAGGAGGATTCCCATTAACACTAGAGCAAATGAGAATCTGAAAACCCCGTCTTTGTGAGGATATAGGTTAGATGCTCAAGCAAAGACGCTCCCCCCACCCCCGGCCCAATAACAGGGGCTTAAATAATTGAGATGTTTGTTTCTTTCTCAAAAGCGGTCCAGCTCTATGTCTGGGGCTGCTATGGCAGCTCTATGCAGTCAAGAGTCTGTCTCTTGTGTTGCCCTCATCTTTCTGGTCCAAATGGCACCCCACTAGTCCAGCCAATGAAGAAGGCAGAGCGAAGTAGAGGACTTGACCCAGAAGCTACACACTGCACTGTGTCACGTCCCACCAGCCAGAACTTAGTCACGTGGCAATACCTAGCTGCAAGGGAGTTTGAGAAATGCAGTCTTTATGTAAGCAGCTAAGTGTCTGCCTAAAACTCTGTCACTATTTATTTCTAACAGAAGATGGAGGAGATGGGTATTTAAGAGATTAGCAGCACTCTCCACATCCCAACTCCAAACAAGTCCCCTATGTGGACCTCTGCTGAGCCAGCTCGAGGGGCGACCCATGTTCCACCTTGAGCCAGGAGGCTGGACCACTGCAGTCATCCTCTTGACCCTGAGACCCAGAGCAAGAGCAGCCCAATTCCAGAGTAAAAACCCCTGCTATCATCAGCCCCAGTTTGTTAGGTTCTGTTTGTGTGTTGCTTAATATTGCACGCCCTCCAGGTGCCAAGAGCCTGGTATGTACTGTCAACTTTCATCTCTGCCACTGCCCCTGAGAGGCAGACATTATCCCCCTTCTGCAGATGGGGCCTGTGGATCAGAGTCAGATGACTGGTGGCAACCCATGCTGTGTTGTACTGGAGCCTACCCTTTTTGGCCTCCCTGGAAAGCTTCCAGTCTCTCCGGCCCACAGGCAGTCCTGAGAATCCTGAGCCAAGTCTGAGCAGCCCCTTCCCAGTCGGGCTGTTCTTTCCCACAAGAAGGGTCTCAGTGGTTCACTAATGCCTGCCCCGAGCGTGATGCATGATCCTCTGCAGGACAGAACAGATCTGTCCTCGGGTCCCCCTCAGGAATTTCCTCTGTAGAGTTCTGCTCGTATGTGCAATAAGCTCTCGTCTCTTTATAGGATCGCCCAAGATGAGGCAGAGGCCACCTCCTCGCCGGGATATGACCATAGTAAGTGGACCCTGGCTGCCGGGAAGCCAGCCCCCGACCTGAAACTGGCCCTAGCCGGCCACCTTGCCTTTTCCAGAGATGCTGTCTTTCCTTTCCACACAGCTGCCTCGTCAAACAGGCTGTACAAGTACAGGCTGTACTCCCAGCAAGGAGTAAAAGACTAGGGTCATGGGGGGTGAGGCAAGTTCCCTATGGCCTTGTGACAGCTGGGTCTCAGGACGTGCTCTCTGCTTCTTGAGCCCACTTTGCTTTACCTTAGATCAGTCTTCTCAAAGAAGGTAATCTGAAACCAAAGCCAGGACGAGGCGCAAATATGCTTTGTGGTGCCATTCTGGTAATTTACTATCAAACTCTGTTTTTAATTCTTCAGGTAACTCTCTAACCAATACTTTGAAAAATGAGCCTTCTCCCATTTATTGAGCACCCATTGGGTGCCGTGCAACGTGCTGGGTGCTTCATGACATTAATTTATTGAATGCTTACAGTGACCCATCCGGTGGATCCCCATTTTACAGGAGATAAAACTGAGGCTCGAGAAGGGGAAGTGATTTGCCCAAGGGCACACAGCATACATGAGCAGTATTTCCAACCCAGATGGGTCTGCCCTGCAGATCTGTGTTCTTTCCATCCCCCTCGCTACCTCTTGAGTTCAGAGGCTATTGTCCCGCCCTAGATTTTCATACCTGTAGGTAAATGTGCCATGTTTCTTCTCCTTGCTCTAGCTGACGGGCCCATGACCCATCTGGGAGATGACAATCTGAGCCATCCTCTCTGTTTTGCCCTCTCAGAATCCAAAATGGGTCCACCAGCGCCCCTCATGGGTGAATGTGTGCCCCAGTCCCTTAGCGCCTACCCCCTTCAGCCAGTGGTAACAGACTGGACTTAACACTGTGTTTAATTGTGCCAGCCTCGAGGTCTCCACCTGCCCAAGCCTCCCGTTCCACCCCAAGTGGAGGAAGAGTATTACACCATTGCCGAATTCCAGACAACCATCCCTGATGGCATCAGCTTCCAGGCGGGTCTGAAGGTCGAGGTGAGTGGACCTGGTGTCCCTCTGCCTACTTGTGATTATTGAGCCATCACACCACTTCCCGCTTCTCTCATTTCTTTCCTCTCACCTACTTCTCCCTCCTTCCTCCCTCCTCCCTCCCTTCCTCTTCCTTTCTTCCTTCCTTTCTCTTCCTTCTTCTTACTTCCTTCCCTCCCTCTTTTCATCTTTCTGACTTCCTTTTTCTTTCTTGCTTCCCTTCCTTGTGACAGTTTTGTTGAGATATAATCCATACCATACAATTCATTGATTTAAAGCATGCAACCCAATATTTCCTAGTACATTTACAGAGTTATGCATCCATCACCACATTCAGAACATTAGAACGTTTCTATCACCCAAAAAAAGGAACTCTGTACACATTTGCTTCCACTTTCTGTTTCCTCCCAATCCCTCCCAGTACCCCCTGCCCCCAGCCCTGGCAACCACTAATCTGCTTCCTGTCTCTATAGCTTTGCCTGTTTGGGACATTTCATATAAGTGGAATCATACACTGTGTGATCTTTTGTGACTGCGTTGTATTCTGTTTTTATCACCACCTACATCACTTCTTGCTTCTCTCTCTCCTTTTTCTTCCCACTCTATTGCTTGTCTGCTCTGTTCCTGCACAAAGGCCAACATAAATCCTTTCTCCTCCTTCCGTTTCTTTTCTTTCCTTGTGAAGTTAGAGCTTGAGCTGTTTCCCATGTTTCCTTGAGAGCCTGTAAATAATGGTGGAGCAGTTAGGTGCCAGACACTGAACTAAGCACTTCACATACAGTCTTTCTCTTAATCCTTTACTCTTGTGAGGCAGGACCATTAACAATCTGCATTTTTTCAGATGAGGAAGCTCTGGCTCAGGAAGAAAGGTACTGTCCAAAATCACACAGCTAAAACATGACAAAGCCAGGATTTGAACCCATGCCTATCTCCAGATTTGAACCAAGGATGTTAACATGCTATTGTTATTTATCTGCTGGACATTTGGGAGGGTATAGACCATAACTGTTTTTCACTCCTATATCCTTATATCTAGCACAGTGCTTGGCACATGGTAGGTCTGCAAGAAATGTTTTGTTTTGTTTTTTAAGAATTTATTTATTTATTCATGAGGCAGAGAGAGAGAGAGGCAGAGACACAGGCAGAGGGAGAAGCAGGCTCCACGCAGGGAGCCCGACGCGGGATTCAATCCCAGGACTCCAGGACCACACCCTGGGCTGGAGGCAGGCACCAAACCACCGAGCCACCCAAGGATCCCCAAGAAATGTTGAACCAATGAAAATCTATCTCCCCACTAGCCTCCTGCTTAACCCTGAGTAGGGGTGTCTTTTTCATTCTTGCCCATAGCCCTGGCATCGAGGCTAGTCCACAGTAGGTGCTCGGTAAGCCATTGTTGTAGGAATGAATAGGTGGATGACTAGAGCAAAGAAAGTAAATTTCTGACTTTTAATTAAGTCAGTGCATAAGTGAGGTGTGCCCTGGGGGTCTTTAATCACTCTCTAGGAGATCTGCAAAGCACCTACTGTTTTCCCTCCAGTCTGAACACCTCCTGCCTCTCTCTCTTTCCTCTCGCGCCCTGGAGCAGGTGCCCAGTCAGCTCAGTGGAAGGTAGCTTCCTACATATGTGTCCTGGGCCTCAGCACCATTGATTTTGCCCAGGCCTCTCCAGAAGCTTGTCCTCAAGCCAAATGTCTTTCAACCCATTGAAGGAGGGCTCTCTGCAGGGATATTTAAAGCTGAACTAGTGGGTGGCCCCGAGTGGCTCAGCAGTTTAGCACTGCCTTCAGCCTGGGGCCTGATCCTGGAGACCTGGGATCGAGTCCCATGTCAGGCTCCCTGCATGGAGCCTGCTTCTCCCTCTGCCTGTGTCTCTGCCACTCTCTCTCTCTCTGTGTCGCTCATTAATAAATTAAAAATCTTTTAAAAATAAATAAATAAAGCTCAGCTAGTCTCTCAAACTAATTTTTATAAAATGCAAATCCCAATCTAGGTAGACAGACTGAGGGGAAAACAAATACCCACAAAGTTCTTTTTTTTTTTTTTTTTTTTTTAAGATTTTAGTCCACTTATTCACGAGAGACACACAGAGAGATAGAGGCAGAGACACAGGCAGAGGGAGAAGCAGGCCCCATGCAGGGAGCCAGATGTGGGACTCAATCCTGGATCTCCAGGATCACACCCTGGGCTGAAGGCAGTGCTAAACCGCTGAACCACCAGGACTGCCCTACCTACAGAGTTCTAAAAGGCTTCTTAGCTATTTCTCCTACCCATTTTTTTCATTCATTTTTTCACTCATTCATTTTTTTTCATTTCTTCCCAACTTCAGATCTACAGAGAGAACTCTCAAGGCATCTTGCTTGTGCTACAAGATCATTCTATGTCCAGGGTCTCCATTTTGCTGCTGTAAAACTTATATATCCAATTTTCACCTGAAACCTGTGCCTTCTTCTTAACATTTTTTCACATCCAAGGCTTTCTCCAAACAAAGCCTGTTCCCATTGCTTTTCTGTCATCCCTGCTGGTCAAGCTGGACTTTCTCCAGCTCTCTTGCTCTCTCTTAAAGCAAGGAATGACCTTGCTTTAACCCAGCTCCTAGAGCTCCACCTGCCTTCTCATAGAAGTCATGCAAGGTCATTTTTTTAACTGAACTTGGCATCTCAAAATCCAACTCATTCTTCAAATCCCTGCTTCCTCTGGGAAGCCTCCCCTGATTCATACTGATTTCCCTTCCCTGCCCTGCATGGCTTCTCTAGGACCATATGTCTCAATCTTTAGCTGAAGGCAGTCCCTCACTTCTATGTATGCTTTCTTTCTTTTCTTTTCTTTTCTTTTTTAAGATTTTATTTATTTGAGAGAGAGAGAACATAAGCAGATTTAGTGGCAGGCAGAGGGAGAAGGAGATGCAGACTCCCCGCTGAGCAGGGAGCCCAACATGGGGCTCAATCCCAGGACTCTGGGATTATGACCTGAGCCAAAGGCAGATGTTAGCCAACTGAGCCACCCAGGCACCCCTGTACATGCTTTCTTGACATCATGAGACGTGAGTGTGGTTTTCCTCTCCTTCTTCAAGGACTATTTGGATTTTGTACTCCAGATTGAAAGTCCTGTTCCCTCAGCATTTTGAACAGATCACTCTGTCCTCTTCTCACATCTAATGCTTCTGGTCAGAAGCTCCTACCTACCTAATTCTTGTCCTCTTGTTCATTATCTGTCATTTATCTGATTCTCTCAAGAGTTCCTCATTATCTTTAATATCCTGGAATTTCACTAAAGTGTGTGTAGGTGTGACTTTATTTTTATTCTGCTCAGCAGGTGGTGGGCCTTTTCAATCCAGGCCTCAGGAGATCTTCCCAGAGAATTCCTCACTTCTACCTTTTTAAATATTGCATCCTCTCCACTCTCTCTATTCTTTCCTCCTGGGGCAGTTAGTATACTTCTCTGTGACCTTCAGGACCTATTCTCCACATTTCTTAACTTTTCTTTCACATTTTATATCTTCATCCCTGTGTGCTGCATTCCTAGAGCATTCCGCTTCACCTTCTAGCTCATTCATTTGTTCTTTAACAATTCAGCTCTTCTCTGGTTTTATTTCAGCATTGTAATTTTCATATCCGAGAGCTCTTTACTGATTCTTTTTCCTGGTCTCCTGTTCTTATTTCAGCATTGCCTGTTCTTTTAGGAACATGATGCCCTTCCACATCTCTCTCTAAGGATAGTAAACATGTTGAGTTTAAGGTTCTATTATTATTATAGCCCATATCTCTTCTCAGTTGTGCCCCCTTTCCTGTGGTGTTGGTGTTCATTTTGTTTCTTCTCATGGTGTTAGTACTTGCCTTGGGCTGCACAAGACAAGGAAGCAGATGGTCAAGCGGCCTGGCTGGGGTAGGTACACCAGGGGCCAGACACCTGCCATTGGTTTCAGCACAAGGTGGGGGACTTCTGAGCCAGCCACTGAACAGTGTTGGGTATCTCAAAGCCAAGCTCCCACATTCACTGCTTCCACTTGTGAACAGTCGCCTTCTTTATTCTACCTGCCTTGTAAGGATGGGATAAGGGGCAGAAGAGGCCAACCAGCCTGGCTACTTCTCAGTAATGGTATCTCTTAATTCCCTGTCACTTGGTCTTGCACCTCCCTGTTCCCCCGTTCCACCACCTTGGAAGTCTGGCAGCCCTTAGCCCTCTCCTACCTTTTGTAGCAGGTACCCCTGCCGCAGTCCTGAGCCACAGCTACCCTCTGCTGCTTCTATCCATCTGTGAGTCCTCATAATTCCCATTCCACTGACTTCCCCTCTCCTCCTTCTGAGCTTGGCTTTGTATTTATTTATTTCCATGGCTTTGTTGCATAAAGAGGAAGCTGCTATTTACTCCTTCTCTCATGTTGGAATTGGAAGTCTAAGTTACATAGTATAAAGGTTTGGTTCTTTTTTCCTCAGAGCACTGATAAAAACATGATAAAATCACCTCCTTTAAGACAATGAGTTTCCAGCATTTTGTACAAACACACACCATTGTTCAAGCATACTGGCAATCTGAACATTTGCCGATAGGCACCACCACTCCCTGGCTCAGAATGTTCTGAAATCAGCCAAGGGGCAGCTCGGGATGGTGGACGATGCGCTGAAGCTGAGGGCTGACTCTGCGTGCAGCAAAGAGTTCATGGGTCCCTGGGGCTTTCTGGGGGTGTTGGGAGCCTCTCTCCTGGCCCCATTTCCAGTTTAACTAGAACCAGTCTCCTTGTTGGGTTGTTTTTTTGTTTTGTTTTGTTTTTAATTTCTGGCTTTATCCTATCTCTCTTTGCTAAAGCTGATCCAATAAAAAGCTCACATACCCAACATTCTTTTCCAGAAAGCGCAGATATAATTCAGCCTTGAAACTTCTCTGCTTATTGTTCCATGATGTCAGCATGTTTCTGCCAGTGGTAGCTTGAGGGACCCAAGTAGGAAGTCATTACCACTAAAGTTTGGGTTTTTTTTTTTAAGATTTTGCTTATTTATTTATTTGAGAGAGAGCTAGAGTGAGAAAAAACAAGCAGGGCAGGTGGCAAAAGAATTGGCAGAGGGAGAAGCAGGGAGCCTGATGACCACGTGAGGCTCAATTTCAGGATCCCAGGATCATGACCTGAGCTGAAGGCAGACACTTAACCAACTAAGCCACCCAGGCGCCCTGCCACTAAAGTTTTTGGCTTAACCAAGTATTCTTTTCTCATGAGCAATTCTGTACTTGCTAATATTTTCCACTTTTGCTTCCTGGTTCATTTCAATCTCATCTAAGCCTTCAGAGTTCATTAATGGAGCCACGGTGGTCTAGCAGTGGAGCTACTAAGAACATCGTAGTTCCCTACCTGGTCTATACATGTTCAAAACATGTGTTACTGATGATTGATGATGATGATGATGATGATGATGATGATGATGATGCAATAGATACCCTCTGTGCCAGGTACCATACCTATTTGATAACTAGGCTTCACAGAAGTCCTAAGAGGTTGGTAGTCTCAGCCCATTTCACAGATGTACCTGAGACAAAGAGAGGATAAGTCAAGTACCCAAGATTATATAGCTAATAAATGGTGGAGCTGTAATTTGAACCCAGGTCTCTCTGGTTTTAAAACCCAGACACTTTCCTTTCCCCTCCGTTCTTCTGATCTGGCATTTGCTTTTATTTGTAATAGCTCTTGGCTTCTCTCTAGTAAATGAACACTCCCATAAATCGTGATCAGGAGCACAAATGTTTAGAGTTTCTGCCATAGTACTTCACACAGAGCGTAAGCTTAACGAATCCTCATTCATATATTTCACTGTGATTATTGTCCTATTTTCATTTTCTCACATACACACTTAGAATTTTTGAATTCGTGGATGTGCCAACGGTGATTTGTATGCCCAGAATCAATTTTAATTGTTACCAGAGCTACCGAGTGTTGGTCAGACACTGCTCCCTGTCACATAAAGGGCTTGCATTTATCAGTACCCTTTCTGGGAAACCAGTTGGACTCCTTAAGTATACACCTGTCACACGCATCCTGCTTTGTTAATGATCTCCACTGTAATTTCATAATAGGGAACATTTACTTTTCAGCATATACCGAGGGCTATTGTCTACATTAGCTTATGTGGTCATTGTGAAAAATCCTGCAAGTGGGTGTTATTGTTCTCGCCATCCTCCCCATCTCATGCTGTAGAATCTAAGGCATGCGGCTTGTGCAGGGCCATACAGGCAATAAACAAACTAATACACTGGATTCCTATGCAGGCCCCAGAGCCCAGCCTCTGCCTCCTGAGGGGTCTGTAACCACCATTCCTCTCTAACTGGGCTGGGCTGGGCAGAGGAGTGCGGTGGGCAGGACTGCACCCGTAACCCCCCTTGTCCCCTGGCGCTTTCAAAACTACCTCAAGCAGGGCTCTTTCCCTTTTCCAGGCATGGTTGAGAAGTGGTAAAGGCACGGACTCTAGAACCCACCAACCTGCCTTTAATTCCTGCCTCCATCGTTAACTTTCACATGACCCTCTCCAGGTCGTCAGGTATCCTGAGGCTCGGTTCTGCATCTGTAAAATGGGATGATAATCCTCATCTCATAAGGCAGTTACAGGCATTAATCAGGTCTCCTACACCTGGGGCCTGCTAGGGAATCTAGTGTATTTGTTTGTGATGCCATCACAAAATGTCTCAGGCTGGGGGGTGTAAACAACAGATTTGGTTCCTCACACTTTGGGAGGCCAGAAGCCCAAGATCAAAGTGTCAGCAGGCTTGGTTTCTCGAGAGGCCTTTCGCCTTGGCTTAGAGACAGCTGTCTTCTTGCTGTGTTTACACATGGTTGTCCCTCATTCTGTATGTTCTCTGTGCCCTAATCTCCTCTCATAAGCACACGGGTCATGTTAGATCAGAGCTCACACCTATGACCTCATTTTAATTTAATTATCTCTTAAAAGATTCTGTCTCCACATACAGTCACAGTCACATGCTAAGATGTAGGACTTAGGGCTTCAACATATGAATTTGAAGGGGACACAGTTCAGCCCATAACATGCAACAGACACACCAGTCAATTCAGCCATAGTACTGAACAAAGAGGAGACAGGAAACCAAAGATCTTAAATTTCATGGGTGATTCCACCCACTGTTCCAGTCAATGGGTGTGTATCCCAAAGGGAGAAGGAGATAAGATGAAAGTTTCTTTTACCTTCATCAGCAGAGGTTCCCCTCTATCTAAACACAAGCTGAATGTAATTCCCACATTTAAGGGTATGCATTTTTTATACTGCATGGACTGTGAACACCAGCCAACAGCTTCATCTGGTGCTCAACCAAAAAAGCAACAATCAAGGCTAATTTGGCTATGTGGGTTTTGCCTTGTACTGCTTTAGAAATGTGGCAGACAGTGCTGGCAGCCTGTACCCCTATACCCCGAGCCACCTGAATTGACCTCTAGCTGCACACAGGTCCCTGTATCCCCCAGCTTCCCACCTCCTACACCTGCCTGAGGGCACCTGCCCAGAAAGGCCAAGGGATTGATGACCCAAGGGGGCCAGGGACTAGGAATCTGGAGATAAAATGTCGCCATCCCCCAGTTGGGATGAGTCTGCATGGTGTCAAAGGGCCCCTGGCAGATTATGCCCCAGTAACCCAGAACAATAATGTCATAACTGGCTCTCTCTTTTCCCATTTCCTCACTTGCACTTCCTGAAATCACCTCTCAAATTAATTACATGTACCCAAATCCACATCCCCAGGACTGCTTTGGGGGATATCCGAAATTAGTCAAGAACCTACCCCCATGTAAGATGTTTCTGATACCCAGTAAAATCTCCATAAGTGGTCCACCACAGCCATTGTTTGGGAATCTGCTGAGTGAAAATTCCCTGCTTCTAGAATCTAGTTACATGTGGGTTCTCCCAGAGTATTCTCCTCTGCTGTCCTCAAGACCTTACCTACTAAGTGCTCTCCTCTGTCTTCCTCTCCAGGTGATAGAAAAGAACTTGAGTGGCTGGTGGTACATTCAGATCGAAGATAAGGAAGGATGGGCCCCAGCAACCTTCATTGACAAGTATAAGAAGACCAGCAATGCCTCAAGGCCCAACTTCCTGGCTCCCTTGCCCAACGAGATGACCCAGCTCCATCTGGGGGATGCAGCAGCCATGGAGAACAACATGGGCAGCGAAGCCATCGGCCCCTCCCGGCCCCTGCCAGATGCACCACATGGTGCCATGGACTCCGGGATGCCATGGTCCAAGGACTGGAAGGGAGGCAAGGAGGTCCCGAGGAAGGCGTCTTCTGACATGTCCTCATGTGCTGGCTACGAAGAGATCTCAAGCCCTGACCTGGAGGAGAAACCCAGCCTCCCCCCCCGGAAAGAATCTATCATCAAGTCGGAAGGGGAGCTGCAGGAGAGGGAGCGGCAGAGGATGGAGCAGCTCAGAGGCTCCTCACCCAAACCTCCAGGCATGATTTTGCCAATGATTCCAGCCAAACACACACCCCCAGCCCGGGATGGCAGGAGGTCAGAGCCCAAACCTGACAAAGGCAAGTTGCTCCAGCTGAAAAATGAGATGGGGCTGGAGTGTGGCCACAAGGTATTGGCCAAAGAAGTGAAGAAGCCCAACCTCCGACCCATCTCCAAATCCAAAGCTGATCTGCCAGAAGAGAAGCCAGAAGGGATTCCTCAGAATCCCTTCTTGAAATCCAAACCTCAGGTTAGGCCCAAACCAGCTCCTTCCCCCAGGACAGAACCACCTCAGGGCGAAGACCAAGTGGACATCTGCAACCTCAGGAGTAAGCTGAGACCTGCCAAGTCCCAAGAGAAGCCCTTACTGGATGGAGAGGGCAGCCAAGATGTGGCCTGCAGCCGGAGCTTCCTCCCGGGTGAAGGGCCTGGCCGCACCCAGGACAGGACGGGCAAACAGGACGGGCTCAGCCCAAAGGAGGTGCCCTGCAGAGCCCCTCCGAAGCCCGTCAAGACCGCAGATCCTGTGCCTAAGAATGTGCCCACCCCTCTCCAAGAGGCTTCCCCGCAGCGACCCGTGGTCCTGCCCCGAAGACCACCACCCCCCAAAAAAACCTCATCTTCCAGGCCCCTCCCGGAGGTCAGAGGGCCACAGCGGGAAGCGAGTGAAGGCAAGGCAGCTCCTGCTCCAGGCCGGGCCCTGCTGGTCCCTCCTAAAGCCAAACCTTTTCTTTCCAACTCCTCAGGCAGCCACGATGACATGCGAGGCAAAGGTGGTCTGGGACCGTGGATGGTGGGCAAAATAGGAGAAAACAGGGAGAAAGTAGCTGCCGCCCCCTTCCCCAGTGCTGACGGCTCGAAGGACTCTTTATACGTGGCAGTGGCCAACTTTGAAGGAGACAAAGACACCAGCAGCTTCCAGGAAGGGACGGTGTTCGAGGTCCGGGAAAAGAGCAGCAGTGGCTGGTGGTTCTGCCAAGTGCTGAGCGGGGCGCCTTCCTGGGAAGGGTGGATCCCTTCCAACTATCTCAAAAAGAAGCCATAGCCTCCTTCCCTGCCTGGAGGTCCCGCACATCCCTGCTGGCTTACCCACGTATTTAATATGCTTCTTAATTTATCATCCTTCATGCAGCTTCGAAGGAAGGAAGAGTCTGGAATACTATGGTTTCTTCCCTCCCATCACAGCATCCCCTGGCAGCCCAGAGGCCAACCTCCTGCTTCCTCTCCAAGTCAGCATCCCTGCCTTAAGGCCAGTGGCACTGCCACCCTCTGTAGGCTGCCCTGCAGCAGGACCATGACTCTCCAAGACCAGAACCCATTGTCTGGAAACTGCAGAAATAGTCTCACTGCCAGCACCCCACCCAGCCTGATGGCTGGCTCCAGCCTCTCCACGTTTCTCAAAGTCCAGTGACTTGATTTCCTGAGTTTCCAAAATGCTTGTTGGTACCAGAAAGAACTCCATCCCCTGGAAGTTGGCTCTACCGCCAGTCGTAGGGAGATGTCCTCCTCGAGGCTCTGGGCCCATGAGCGTCTCAACTGCCCCAAGAGTGGGCCAGAAGGTCCACTGAGCCATTCTGCCTCCCATCGTCTGTTTTGGAACCCTGACAGATCCTAAAGGGGTGCTTCATTTACCTGCGCAGGGCTTTTTAAATAGGAACCTCCACCCCACCTTGGGCCATTCCACTTTCATCTCCACAGAGCGAGAACCTCAAAGTTTGTTTGAAAGGAGCCACTCAAAAAAGAAAAAAAAAAAAAGAAAGAAAGAAAGGAGCCACTCACAATCCATGTCCCTCATGAGCATCCCATTGCTGAGTAGCTAGTAGGTGCCAGGCTCTGTCCTTGGCCCTTTACATTCCTGTTTTATCCCTCAAATCAATCCTCTCCTGTGTAATTATGTCTATTTTATGGACAAAGAACCTCAAACTCAACGTGCCAAGGGCACACTAGCTAGGAAGAAGAGGAAAGAGGATTTGAATTGAACTGGCTCGACTTCGATACCTGTGCCCGTAGGAGGCTCATCAGGCAGGGGCACAGGAAGAAGCTAACTGCCAGAAGCAGGTGGCCAAGTGGCTTGCTTGTGGTGTGGGTGAGGGGGCGTTAGTGGCTGCTCCCACACCCACCACCCCTCCGACCTGGTGCAGCTGACACTGGAGGCTGCCCGCACCCTCCACAGCTCCTCCTCCATGGCAGGGGAATGCCCGGGGCTCTGGCGGTTGCCACAGGGCCCCATTTCCTGCTGCTGTGCTGGGGCCCCCTCTGGGAGATAAAGCTTGTGGAGCTGAGGTGGTCTCGCATGACAGCCTGTTGGCCGGGGGGGGGGGGGGGGGGGTCATGGATGGCCAAGGACCAGCAGCTGGATTGCCACAGGCAGAGGCCTCCCAGCCCTCTTTGCTGCTGCTTCCTGCTCCTCTCTGGGATTCGCAGAGTACTTCTCTCTGTTTTATACAAGCACTCTTCCTGTCATCTCTCTTCCATTTGGACAGATGTGTTCACTAAGGCAGGTAGAGGCACAGCAACATTGCAGAATTAGAATCAGAACCCCGGGTTTCTGGCTCCCGGCCCAGAGTTCTTGCCCGTGGACCAGGCTGCCCTGGTGGGTAAGAGGGCAGACCCCCTCGTCAGCCCACCCCACCCTGCGGAAGAGGATCCAGCTCAGAGATCTCCAACTCAGTGTTTACCTGCTGTGATGCTTTGGGGACCGCAGGGCCAGCTTTTCTGGGGACACCCACTGTCTGCCTGCAGTGCCAAAGATTTCTGTGTAAATGGCCCTTCTCTGCTCTCCCTTCCCCCCAAGGCCACATGGACTCTGGATGCTTCTACAGGAGAAGGAGTGTTCTCTGATTCACAGTAGCATCTTTATTCCTTCCCTCAGGCAGCGTGTAAGCCCCATCCCCAAGGATTTTGGGGGCAGGGCCCCGAGGGGCTCCTGGCAGCGTACACTTGCCCCATGGCCCTGTGCCCAGAACCGTAGCGGAGGATAGCAGTCCGGGAAGAAGGGAGGCTGGGAGAGGGCCACCCACATCTTTGAGGTACCCTCACTTGGAACGAAGCCCATAGCATGTTTTCCAGAGTTTTTGACCCACTTTGGCTGAAACAGCTTTTATGAAGCTGTTATGCAGGATTTGACTACATTTCAAAAGACAGAACTCAGCCTTTTTTTCTCTGATTTTCTCTCTGCTTTCTTTGACCTTTTCAAGTGTTTTGTGAGCGCCCGTGCTTGGCGCTGGGTAAGACCAGGATACACGTGGCTCCATGCCTGGCTCAGAGCATGGGGTTTTTTGCTGCTTCCACCCAAAGGGTTTATCTTTGGCCTCATTCCCTCGTGCTGAAGGTCAGCCGGGTGGGAGTGGACTACTTCCACCTTTCTGTGGGCAAAAGTGTTCCTGCAAATGAAAGAACTTGCATTTTTATTATTTTTATTATTTTTATTATTATTCTGACGTGAACTGAAGGTACTGAAACCACGTTTCTCTCTGTTCACCGTTCTTTGCTCAGGACACTTCTATGGCCTGAGGACACCCCTCTCCGGCTCCATGTGCCACAGTGGTGGGCACTTATACAGGCAACTGGAAGTAGGGGGACCTGGTGGCCGGGGGCTCCCCCTAGCTGTCCTTGCCTGAGGACTTAGCTTTACAGCATCCAGCCCTGTGGCCACCATTCTGTGAGCAATTGATACAGCATATGCAAAACTCCCCTGAGTTTACACTCGCAGCAAATGCCCAAGACCACAGTTAGAACTCTGTGCCAAGCTCCAGGCAGGTCACTGGTGCTTAAACTCCCTCTTAACTCTCAAGACAATCCTATAAGGTGCATAGGACCAGCCCCGAGCTGTGAAGAGGTGGTTGAGGTACATGGGGTGAAATCGAATGCCTGGTTTCATCCAGATCATGACCAAGCTGAGACTTGAATCCAGGGGTGCCTTCTCCCCAGTGCCCATGGCTTTTCCTCTTCCGATGTTAGCAAAATGTGCATGGCCCTTCCAGGGCAACAGGTGACCCTCCCACATAATTTAGGTTTCTACTCTCTTCATCCCATGATCACACGTGGCAGTTGGTCACAGGCCAAATGCTAGCCCAAAAGGCAGACATGAAAAAAAAAAAAAAGGCGGGCATGTAAAAACCACAGCTCATAGTGCCACCAAATCTTTGGAAAATCTGAGTTTTAGGATCACTGCTTGGCAAAACAGGCCTTCACAAAATGTTCACTCAAAATCTCTGTTTGGTGGGTGACTTTATGCCATTGTCCCAGGCTGAGAGGGGGGAGCTGGGGCCTGGCTTGAACCACTTTTAATGCCCTACCTCACTGAGGAATTGCTAGAGCCCATAGTGAGTTTCTAATAGTCGTTTTAAGCCTCCACCACAACACCTCCCCATGTAGCCAGTTTCTTAGGCAAAGCTTTTGGCCTTAAGATGTTTCTGAGCCCACTGGGGATCGCATTACCAGGTGGAGTGTAGGAAGACAAACTTGCAGCATGAAAGGGCAGGTGCCAAATTGCCCCAGGTTTCAGAAGGTCCTTAGGCCAAGGCATGGACAGTCCAGTATTTATACAGCCTGTATCGAGTACAAAGCAATGAGTGGGATAAAGAAGTTGCTCCTGCCCTCAAAGAGCTGGTGACTCAACATCATCAAGAACAGGAACATTCGTGGCTTGGCTCCCATTCTTTCATCATGCCCAAGTCTGTAAGTGTTGGGTCAGGCTGCTCCCTGGGAGGTTTTGCCCTTCTCTTTGTACAGTGGCCGTGGGTGCATAAGAGCCTGTGCCATGCCTGGCAGTCCTGTCCATCCCCCACCCCACCCCCCTTAGTTATCCAGGCCAGAGCTTTTGCAAACCAGCCATACCCTATGATAGACCAAAGATTACCTAATGTCAAACTTTGTGGCCCGGAGGAGTGGGAAGTTGGTTTGCATTGAGGCCTGAGGGTGTAGGATGCCCTCCATTAGCCTGGAAGAATTACTCCTAACTTGGCTAAGGTTCGGACATTTGGATGGGCCACAGCCTGTGACAGTCCCAGATCTGCGGAGCTAAAACCCAGAGGCCCCATGGTCTTCCACCTGTTTATGGACCACGTGCCAGGGACCCTTCCCACAGACTTGAACATCCAGCTCCGTGGGGCAATGACTGGTTTCTGGTGCTACCCTGCCAAGTTACCCAGGCCCTCACCATGCTTCAGCATTCCCTCCTTCCCATCTCTACTCCAAAGGAGGCCTCCCAGCGTCAATCAGGACAAGTGACTCAACTCTTGTCCTTGAAGAGGCCAGAGCCAGTGCCACAGCCAGCACCCTTCACTTTCAGGTCTATAAATGTACAAAAGGCGGTCCGCCCCGCGCCCCCCCCCCCCCCCGCCGCAAAATCAGGCTTGTTACAGCAATAAGCAATTCTGATGCAAGTAAGGTGTCCATATTTTATCCCAGTGTGTGCCTGTCTCTGCCTTTGTGTCCACGTAACTGTTACTAGTGCCCCTTTCACTCGTATACAGGGGAGATGATAAACTATGGTCACCTTAGCTGTCCCCACATTTCCTGCTTCAGAGCACCACCAAGTCACCAGAAAATTTTGTGCATCCCTCCAGGAACGGTGGGGCTCTGACAGCATTGCCTCACCTCCTCATGTCTACTCATAGAGTGACCCTGGAGATCACTGAAAATCATAGCACTCCTCATACCCTCTTGGCAAACTGACAAATTCTGGTGGTGTTTTGTTTGTTTCCTGTTAACACACACAAAAAGATGAGGATATATAATGTGAGGGGGGAGGGGTGGTGAACAATTAGCTGTAGCATGTATAGACTATATACCATTAGACTTTCTCTTTTTTTTTTTTTTTTTTAATAAAAATGCTTGACTGGTTTCAAGCTTCATTGTGAAGATGCAGTGTCTATGGACTTTATTTAGCTAAAGAGGTGAGGCATAGCTTTCTGCCCTGGCATTTTGGGCTCGAGTTTGGGAATCAAAGAACCGAAGCCTAGGTGAGCTGCTGGAACAATAGGGGTGACTCCTCTGTCTGGATCCTAGTGCATCCTGATTCTTTGAATTACAGTGTCCAGAAACTAAGGGAAAATGTCCTTGTATTCACTGGGCATTTCCCACATATTCTTAGCTCTGTGCCTAAAGATGAAAAATGTCACACATTTAAGATGTCTTGAACCTCACTGCTGTTGCCTACTGATGGGCAAGAGCATGTGGTGGACGATGGGGGTGCAGCCGTGGTGGGGCGGCAGGGACTGCTCAAGCCATTTGCTTCTGGGATCTGGAGGGCATTGCCTGATGTGCTATTGCTTTCCCAAGGTCAGAGGCAAGGCCAAACCAACCCCCAAAGTGGAGCCTCCTTGGCCTCAGGTAAATAATTAAACACAATGACACCATCACCCACCTTCCTGGGGAGGAAAGAATAGAACCAGCAGAGTCCCTGGACAGAATGTCTAAAGGGGGAACTTCCATTCAATAGTCATCCTTCCTTGAAGGAATGATTTCAAAGAATGCAATGACCTTCTTGATGGACCACCTTGCTTAAGAATAATGGTCATTCAAGTATCAGTCTCTGTTCCCATAAGAAGGAAAAAGCGTGATATGCTTCAGGCGCCCCACCCCTTGGGAGCATTCTCTCCCAAATCTTCAAACTAACTGTGGTCCTTCATAAGAATACAACTGATAATGGCATGGGATTCCTGGAGCAGGTCTGCAGGGGCACCTGACCCTCACCTCACAGGATGGGATGGGATGGGGACTGGACCACGGTGAGGAGCCAAACCTGACTTACTCTCTCAGGGTGCTTACCCATTGTCTTTAGGTCTCAGTTGAAACTGGCACATTGGCCATTCCCTTTTATACTGTTTCAGAAATGCCAGGCCAGGGATCCCTGGGTGGCGCAGCGGTTTGGTGCCTGCCTTTGGCCCAGGGCGCGATCCTGGAGACCCGGGATCGAATCCCACATCGGGCTCCCGGTGCATGGAGCCTGCTTCTCCCTCTGCCTGTGTCTCTGCCTCTCTCTCTCTCTCTGTGTGACTATCCTAAGTAAATAAAAATTATTTAAAAAAAAAAAAAAAAAAGAAATGCCAGGCCAAACACAATCCAGCTGTCACACATGTTCCCTCCCACTTTCCTTACCATGACCCTATAAGAGATCACTGTAAATCTATGTGTAAGACTCAGGTCATGGAGCCACTCTTCTCCGAATCCAGAGTGTTTCATGTCCATCACTTTTCTAGTTAGTATCCATCCAGTCTAGCTGTGGTTCCTCACCATCTTGCAACCTGTGCCTCCCAATCAATAGTTCTCAAATTTTAGAAACCATACATACAGCTTACCAGGGAGTTTGTC